ATCCCAGAGTAGGGGGTTCCTCCATCGGTGTCCGGAGTCCGGAGTCCGGGGCATTCCGGTGCTCGCTTCATTTACCACATGGCCCCATGCGAGAGGATTCCGTCAATTCGTCTTCCTTCTGGCTGCCGGTTGCAAGTTGCCAGTTGCCATTTGCCTGCCACTTACTCCTTTCTGTGCAAAACTGAGCATTTCGTGTTGCCATTTTGTGGATATGTCGATTTATTATTTTTTATTGTTGTTACGTTTTACGACTTTTCCACAGCTCTGCCGACGAGGCAGATCTGTAGATATTTCGGCAAATTTACGGCAGTTCCTCATCTTTTTTTGGCATCCCGGCTGCATTTTCTCATCCCCATCCTCATCCCTTATCCAGCTGCAATTTTATCAAAATATTTCACCAGCGCTCCATTCTTTATGGCACAAGTTAATTTTACAGCACGATGTCAAAGTGCTCCCCACACGGAGGAAGCTGGAGGAGAGTCCTTCTCGGGTTTATTAGCAGATGCGAATTGAATGCATTTTATCTTTGCAAATATTAGAGCTAGCTTTTGTTCCTGGATAAAGAGATTTAGTTGTTTAAACTCAGTGAAAGATAGTTGTGAATAAGATCGAGATGAGCCGTGAGGAATTTTCAGAAGATATATCAGATATTTTACCAAAAATATAGAAATTTAAAATCATTTGCAAGGGTGTTTTATGTGAAATTTGTTAAGGTTTGACTTAGACAAGTATATCAAGATGAAAAGTAGAATTTATATAGAATTGAATATAGGGAAATGTATAAAAACTGGTCTCACTTTTATACCCACACAAGCTATTTTAATTTCAGTTACAAGCTTAAAACTTATTGAAGGAATCATTTCCTACCCCATAAATCATATAAATTCTTGATCAGAATCACCAGCCGAATCGATCTAACTATGTTTGGAAAAAATATAAATTTTCGAAAAATTTTCGAAAATTTCAAAATTTTATAAGGTGTTACATCGTTAAAATTGTCAAAAAATTGAATTTTCTGAAATGTTAAATTGAGTATGCAGATTTATAAACCTAATAAAAACTAACATAGGAACGGTTTCCGAATTAAAATTAATGCATTTTTGGCTTAGTTATGATATTTGAAAAACTATGATGTACCCAAAAATTTTCAAAGCTTTCTAAGGGGTAAGCAAGAACAGAACATTTTCTATTAATCTATTTAATATATATGTATATTAATCAAAAGTGCACTTTGTTAATGAAAGGGTTTTGAAAATTTAAATAAGGAAGCAATCCCTACTCTCAACCCAATCGATATCGAAGGCATCTTAGATAAAAGCCGGAAATCGTTACATAAAAACGTCGGATGCAGCTACCAAAGCGAAAACGAAGTGGCAGCCGAGAGAGATTTCTTCTTGGCCATGTAATTCCTGCCAATTGGCACAAAGAACCATACATATATATATATATAAATATGTATATGTATATATGGTGCATATAAAGACCTCCTCCAGAAAGTGCGCTCCATGAGCAGCTGCAGCGGGAACAGCAGCAACAAACTCATAAAAAGGCGCAGAGAAACGAGCAAGAAAACTTTGCTAACGACTTAAACGACGATTGAATGGCGGGGGAGGGGATGGTGGGGAATGGGGGAGCGGGGGTATCCAGGAGAAAGCCGATTGTCCTCTCGTGGAGAACTTGGAGAGCTCGGGTCTCGTGACTGGAGAATCGGCAAGCAGAAGTTCGGTTAGCTGCCGAGTGTAAGGTTAGCTGCAGTTTGGACAGTAATAAAAGTAATAACAACACCAGTGCATCCTGCATATACCCCACTGTACACCGTGCAGTGTACACTGTACACTGTACATAAAGCGTATGTATGTATGTACCTATCTGGGCTTGGATTTGTGTACAACGGCTCCTGTAACTCCGTGTACCTCCAGCCACATGGCCCTGCGCAGAGTCGCTTTATGCGCGTTAATGGCATCGTTTACTGGCTAACTGTACGTGCATATATATATACATATATATATGCATCTGGCCAAGCAGATCGACATGCATATATATTTATATATGTATATACTGTTGTACATATATATATGGGGAAATGGTAGTAGTATATATCTCCCTGTATTCCGAGTGGGGCGGTGCAACGGCGACAGCTGCAGCCTGTCGTGCGAGAAAGTCGACAAAATATTCGTGCCAAGGGGGCGTTACCAACATATACCGAACACTTTATATAAATATTGTATAATGTGTGTATTATTTTTGATTGTGCTCAAAGTGACTAAAATGTTCGGTGATTAAATAAGAGATGGATTCAAATTGACATGCACGTGTAGGTAACCATTGGCTTTGACCTGAAAATTTTAATTGAAGATATTTTAGTTGGAAATTTTTGAAAAATGTTTAAAATAGGAAAATTTAGTGGAAAATCGCTTGAAATTATATTATATAAATATTTATTAAAAGTAAAGAATATATAAGATATGATTAACAGACTTAATACCTTAGATTTTCCTATTTTTCTGAGAATTCTGTTTTAAATATATTATATTTCAATTGGCTTAATAAAAAGGGAGAGAAGGGAAAGCTAAGGATCACTTTTTTTAGCCAAATACATAAAAACTTTTCCCATTTTCCCCTACACCTATTGGTAAAATGTAATGGTTTTCCAAAGATTTAATAAAATACCCTTTTTTTGTATTACTTTTATAGTCACTGCGTTGTAAACTTGTGACTAAAAATTAAAATGCCTTGGAAATGTATAAAAAACATAAAATTTACATAAATCCTCATAATCAGGTTTCTGCATTCAAATTAAAAGTCATAAAACAATTGAAATCTAAAAAATTATAAATTTAGTAATTGCCCAATTTCAACTTTATTCAAGTCGACATAAAAAACTGAAAGTGATGCTTTTTGAGACCTCATTGAAATGGTCTATTGCTTTGAAATGATACAGTTTTTCGCATTTAATGATTACTCTCGACTTGCTGTGCTCCAAATTGCAGTTAATTGAGACTAGATTATTTCTATTGCACTCGATAATTTAACATGGTGTTATTAAAATGTTGTTTTACAATGCCCAATGGACATGCAATTTAATATGCAAAATATGCTACGTGGCCACGACGCGGTTGCGAGAGTAATAAATCAATTTATTAGATTTATTTGCGGCCAATAAAATAATTTGAAAACATAAAAAAATTGAGGGGGGGGGGAAATACCAGCACAGCCCACTAATGGCTTAATTACTAAATTAAAAAGGCGCAGACAGCGAGGCAAGTGTTCGCGTTCGTGTGAGCGCTGCTCAGGTGAGCGTTAAAACAGGAAGTTGAGGCGGAGGCACTGCTCCGCAAACCGAGAAACTTGTTTTCACCTCAAGTTCGCACACGCAAAGTGAGTGCGCCAATGCAAATCTTGCACCGCAAAACTCCCTGCAACCGGCGATGTGTTGCATGCAACAGCAGCAGCAACATGGGCAGCCCCAACAGCAACACTCGCACGCCAGCAGCAGCAGCAGCAGCAGCAGCAACAACACATCAAAGGAGCCAACTGAGAGCCATAATAAAACGGGCCAATGGATATGAAGCTCCGCCTACAACGAAACTACCAACAACGATGTTGCTGTTGCTGCTGTTGTTGCTGTTGTTGCTGTTGCTGTTATTGCTGCTGCTGCTGTGTAGGTAAAAACAAGAAAAAAAAAAGAAAAAATGGCTGGCGATACGAAGAGCATAATGGCATAAGCTCGGCAAGAGACAGAGAAAGAGAGAGGGCAAGTGACGAGAAGGAAAAGAGACACACACACCAGAGGCCACATAAATATTGCGAAAGCGAAACTGTAGACAGATAGTAGTTCCCAAGGTGTTTAAAATTATAATGGTTACAATATGAATATATATTTTAGATAGGATTTCCAAAAAAGCAAAGATACGCAAATAAATAATCTTGATATCATACTAAATTATATATATAATATAATTATCTTCGTTAATACATATAATAGAATTTTTATATAATTGAATATATCATTACTAATATTAGGCTTCTCTTTTCTTAGATTTTCTGACCATAATTATAACCGAACAATGAATTTAAAGTCTCACAGTTTCTATACAAATATGTAACTTAAATTATATACTAAATATATTCCCATATTGTATGCGAAAAGTTAATACAATGAAGTTAAGTATATGCAATATGTAAATCTGTATATAGATAATCTAATTGAAATGCAATTTGATTGGCTAAGGCCCACGTCTAAACTCAATCAGTCTTGCGATAAATTAATTATTAATGCCAGAAATCAAGCTGCTTAGTCAACATTGGTCTTTGTGGAATTCTTTCGATTAAATATCGTAACTTTATTATATAGCACCCAGTTCAGTATCAATCGGTGGTCCCCGCCGTATTGAGTTGCAATTTATGCCGACGTTTTAGCCGCCATGTTTACGTTGCATATTGTCGGCTGTCTGCCGTCTCTACGATGGCTGCAATTCTGCAGCCTGGCGAAATTCAAGGAAGAATGGCTCCCCTTTTTTATGGGTTTTTTTGAGGCTACTCATGTCAAATTGTTTGTTTATGCGAAAGAGATTTGTCAATGAAGCTAATGGCTGCGATCGATTGCAGATCGGTAATGGACGGGAATCATGGGAAAGAAGATAAAGTTTTATGACCAGATCTTTTCTTTTGTGTTTATTTTTCAGGTTAATTTATTCTCCCAGACTTTGGTTACATGGGAAATATTTAAATTATATTGCAACTGTCGCATGTTGCTAGATAATTGCAGAAAATTAAATAGACCTCGAATCGAAACAAGTTAGAAAAACAGTAATTGGTTTACAAAAAAAAAAAAGTTACCTCCTCTAGTTGAGGAACCATTAACGTTTAAACTGTGGGCCGTACTCGGTTTTTTTTCGAGACCGATTGTTAAATAAATTGCAAAGATCGATGCCAGATCGATTAATTGACTTAACTAACGACTTTCCTTTCCTTTGGTGCTTTTTTATTATGATTTACAGGCCAAGACGTTTTCCTAGACTATTGCCAAAAGCTATTAGAGAAATTCCGCTATCCCTGGGAACTGATGCCGCTCATGTATGTGATATTGAAGGATGCAGATGCCAATATTGAGGAGGCTTCCCGGCGAATCGAAGAGGGTAAGTTTTCGAATTGAGTTGTCCCAATATATATATAGCCTCCAGATTGGTTGCGTGGACGATTAATCAATGGCAAATGTCTTTCGATCTGATCCAAACCAGGCCAATACGTTGTGAATGAGTACTCCCGTCAGCACAATTTGAATATCTATGACGGGGGTGAGCTACGCAACGCAACACGGCAATGTGGATGATAATTTTTCATGAATTAGAGTAACGTAAATGTAAATGTAAATGCATTACTTTGCCCTGATATTTATTGTTCAGCCATCAGCCACATTAAATAGCTTAATGCTTTGGTGAAATCGCGCAAGAATTTAACTTTCGTAACTTTGCAAGTGCGGTAACGTAGAGTTTTGTTTTAAAGGGGCTGAGCCTCTGTACATATGTATATCGAATTTATCGGTAAGCTAAAGCGCCTCTTGGATCTATCTTCAATCAACAAGCCAAATATATCGATGTGTGATCCCCCAATTCATCAATCAACAATACCCCAATGCTGAGATGTCTGATGACCGGCCATTATTCAACAATCAACAATCAACACTCAACAATCAACACTCAACTCTTCTCTTCAATCAACAATCCCCCAATGGATGATCCTTATCAGCAAGCAACAAAACAATTGATGCCCGCGAATTAAATTAATCAAAGCCAAGAAGGTTTATTTAAATTTTTTAAAACCGTTTTGAAACAAAGTAACCGCAAAATCAACGATCAACAATCAATAATCCATAATACCAATTTCAACTGGAAGTTCAACATTATTCGCACTTCGACTCTACGCATGCGCACATCGGTTGTATAGCTTTAGTTTAGCGCTCCTTAAGTCCTTTTTTTTACAAAACTAATTAGTCTATTTAAGAGTCTGGGTGCGATTTTCGTGCTGATTAATGTCCTTTTCGTCAGACACGACGTGTTACACTTTGGTCGCTTTAGTACTTAATTGAATCTAAGTACAAAGTATTCATCTACTACTACTAAATATCAGCTACTTATAATGGAGGAAACGATGTTCTATACTCATTTTAATAGACTTGAAAGCTAATCTCAAAAAATTCTTCTCTACGTGTCAGTTCGTATCGAAACCAGGTAACATAATGTTTCCATACGCATCCTGGGGACCTTGGTATCAGAAATGTTGTGAGATGGTGCACAAATGATGGATATATATTTAGGCTAACGTTAACTCTATCGATGTCTTGCGAAACTCTAATTGTATTATTTATAAATAATAACAATAACTCTCATCGACATTGTAACATATTGTTATCAACTTAAGTAAGACCTAGCCCAGCAGAATACTTATTATTATAAAGAAGGATAAACCTGAAATGTCAGAAATAAACTATTTTCCTTAAACAGAATCACTAAAAATGATGCGATAAGTTTAGCGTTGATTAATTAAATGGATGTGAATTGCCGCCTCACCAAAATGCAGAAGAAGTATCAGCTGTTGTTTGTTTTGTTGATGACATTAAAAATCGTAACGATTGCTTTTCAAGTTGTTGCCATTTCACGAAACCATTACCATTGCACGTCCCAGCAGATGAACTTTCTCAATGCCAAGGAACAGAGTCTGGGAGCTAGAAGTTGGCAGCTGGGAGCTGGGAACTCGGAACTGAGAACTGGGAATTGGAAGCCAGGAGTAGCCTGTGTCGCCACTGCTGCTGGGATCGTAAATGCATCATTAAACCGAAAAATGCATGCGAAAAATTTACGACATTGCCAACACCGTAGCCAAAAGCCTTCCACTTGAAGAAATTCAATTGTGAAACTTGGAAATAATCTTTAAATTAAAATTTTAAGACAGCTTAGATTAGGGTAACTTTACAAAGAAAGATTTGTTTACTATAATAAGAAACAAGAATGGAAACTAACTACGGCAAGCCCAAGTATTCCCTTGCAGTTTGAAAACTAATTAGGGATCGATTCGGATATCGATCATAAGTAAGCTTCAAATATTCGCTTTCTTTGAAGCAATATTTGTCAAGAATTTAATATGAGAATTTTATCAACAAAATCAAAATTTAAAAAAAAACTGAATACTAAGCCAAATATTAATTGATTTAAAATCAGAAACCATTCCTATGTTAGTTTTTGTTATGTTAATAAATCTGCATACTCAATTAAAAATTAAAAAAAATTGAAATTTTGACAGTTTTTAGACAATTTTAACGATGTAACCCCTTTTAAAAATTTCACATTTTGGAAAAATTTATTTTTTGACCGGACATGGCTTGATCGATTTGACTGTTGATTCTGAACAAGAATATATATAATTTATAGGGTCGGAAATGATTCCTTCACTGCGTTCCATGCTTTTAAGTCTTTCATTATTTTGCCAACAGTCTAAAAGAATTCTTTTCCTAAAAGTTACCTTTTAATTGATTTAAAATAATTAACTTTGAAAACTAAATTGAGTATGTTGTTAATATGATATTATAGATACCTTTGTTTCAAGTGTACAACCTTTGAGTTTTGTGAAAATCTGCTCTAGTCTCCATCACCTCTGTCCGCCATCAGGTAGCAGGAATACCCGCACTCCTCCGGCCGTAACAGCTCAACACCGCTGCTCGGCACTAAACACGTCACGGCGGAATTTTTAGGAATCACTGGGAGAATCTCCAATCTCCTCTGTGGATTACTCCACCGGGGTAGGCAATGGCATTGGCAATGGCGACGTGTAAATGTGGCCACCATAAAGCTTAAAAGTGTTTATGGTTGAATTGTGCGCGAAGGAAGGGAAGAATCGCTCGAGCTCGACATGTGAGGAGAAAGAGCATTTGATGCCCAAAGATTTGAGAGATTTATTGAAATGCCCAAGCTGCGATTCACTTTATGAGCCGGAGAAGCTTATAATGTGAACAGTTTTCAAATTAAGGTGTTTTTTTTTCAACATTAACAAAGGTTTCTGAATGAAGAAATGGACAAGTCACAGAAGAAAATTGAATTTTCCGAAAACCATATACACGTTTTTGAAAATTAATTAAGAAAACAAACATTATATACCAAACTTTACCCTTTTCCTTTCTCTGTCAGCAATATTTTGTTTAAACTAACCTTATTTTAAAAATCTTGTTTATGTATCCTTTCAATCTTAATTTAAACCCGTAACTAAACAAGTTCTTAGTTAATATATGCTAGTAGCTTAGCATCTAGTTATTCAGTTCTTTGCTTTTTAATCTTGTTGATGACTTGTGCGTGACTCAGTGGGTATATTTAAGTAGTAAACTCTAAACTATGGAATCTAGCGCGGACGCAGGAAATAATTTTATGACACATTCTCATATCCTGATGTTCGCTTATATTTGCAGCGACGCCTTTCTTTGCTTTCCCATAAAAAATAGACTCGCTGGTACACCATTTTGTACGGGGCGCTATAACGAGCTGCGGGCCGCATCATCATCATTTTCATCATCATCATCATCATCATCATCATCATCATCGTCATCGTCATCGCAGTCATATGGCTTTACCCCATCTCAAACCAGTCCAAAGCGAATTCCTTTCCACTTTCGTCCCAAACACACATTTACCAATGCTTATTAAAAACTATAGGAAAGTGCAGAGACCCAACGGCAGCAGGAAGCAAAAATTTCCAACTTTACGACTTCATATTGTGGGCGGATCGTAAAATATTTGTGCAGCGTCAACTTCTAGTCCTCGTCAACTTACTGCCACTGCCACCAAGTTTCCTCGCTACTGTCATTTTTACTGCCCGCCGCCAAGTTACAAGCTGCCACTTGTGCCAGACATCTGATCCACATATATAGACAATCATGATTTATCATGGTCCCTGGTCCCTGGTCCTACTAGCTTGCTAAATAATAAGCAACCAGTTTGTCATAAAGGCTGCTTCCCTGCGTAATCGGGCTGGACATAGCTATGCCCATGTCCATGTCCATGCCCCGGATGCCTTCATTCTTTCCTTCCGTCCCCATCGAAGCCAACTCAACCGTGAACTCATTGTCGAAGTTTTGTGGCCTGCAAACCCTCAGATTATAAAGGGGAAGCACTAATAATTGCATAGCATAGGAGCTTGAGTAATATTTTGCCATAAACTAGGAGCCTTAAGCTATATTTTGAACATATTCCCACTTGGGCGAAGTTATAATTTAAACTTTTTGTTCCGCGTTTGAAAGAAATTGAAAGAAAATATAGGCCTAGACTCTTGTGAGACCAAAACGGAGGTACAACTTTGAACAATCAAAATCTTGCAGATGTTAGGTAGGAATTAAGATATAGTTAAAGTAATGCCATATTTTGTTTCTGGGTATTTTCTGATTGATTAAACTAATTATTTAATTAACTTGAAAGTGTTAAAAACAAACTCTTAATTTACTCTTATAGGGTATTTTTCTTTTAGTCAGAAGCTTGTAAAGCTGTGAAGGAGTCATTTCCGACCCTATAATTCATATATATTCTTTAAACTGCAATAATATATAATCTTCGCCTTCGCGTTAGTTTTACTTCTTGTTTAAAACTATTAAACCACAACACATTCCATTTCAAAGTCAGTTAAAAAATGTATCCGTATGCAAACTTCCCAAATTAATAAGACAGATTTTCTTGTTCAACATACAGATAAAGAAATAATTATAAAAATCGTAATGTCCCTTTTTCAGTTGACTTATTTCATTACTCCTTTAGTCCCAGTCCCAAAACCAAAGTAGTCAGAATTCAACTAGAATTTCCTTACAAAATTATTGGAATGCGACGAAGGTGCTCCCTATGCGAGGCTAAACCTGCTCGAAAATGCATTCCTCTAATTAAGCCAACACCAGGACTTGGTTTATGGACTAACCCAAGGAGAGTTGGCTATGTATTAGCAAGTACATTGATGGGAAGGATGCCCTTTGCGCACCCCAAAAAACCCAAACTTCTTGGGTCACAACTTTTTTACGACTTTTTATTATTTCGTCAAATCGCACATTGGTCGGGCGGCATTAGTTTGCGAATAGGTTTGGGTCTCTGGACTACCACGGACCTGCCAGGCACCTCCACCATCCCCAGCTCCAGCTCCAGCTCCTCCTCGGGATTGGGATGGGTTTTGCAGGGAGGCACGCTCATGCGTAATTCTCTCTCGTATGCTCTGGCCCTGTTTAATGCATTCTGCAGTTGGCGGAAGAAAAAATCCCATTAAAATTAAGTAAAATTGCAGCACCAGCAGCAGCAGCAGCAGCAGCGTAATCGTAAAAACTTGGCATTTTGATGTTGCAGCAAGCAGTAAAATTTTGAAAAGTTTTTGCCACGCAGATAAGGCGGGGAGTCAGCGGAAGACAAAGGCTCCATGCCCGGCCGAAGCCGGAATGGGTACGGAACCGGGCACTGGAGCTGGGATTGCAATGTGTGTGCGTGTGTGTGGATGTGGATCTGAGGGCGTGGCAGCTAAAAAAGGGGGAATGGGCATCGGGTATGGGGTATGGGGTATGGGGCTTATTGTGTGAGCACCGTGCGAAGGTTGCACATAAAGTGCATACCGGGGCCATAGGTGGGCTTCGCCAGGAGTCGGAGTCGGGCCAAAATGGCGCACATCTGAGCCCGGTCCGGGTGGCATAGACATTTAGTGCGTACTATAGTTAATATTATGACCGGCTTACCTCTGGTCTTCCCTATGAAATGTGTTAAACAAAAGTATATACTAAAAAGCAAAACAATAAATTGGAGAATTATTAAATTTAAGTGTGTTCTTTAAGGATTCCTAGAAATTGTTATTGATATTTTTCTTAGCTTAAGCTTTCTTTTAAGTTACTTTTAGTTTATATTTAAATTGGTGGTAAGCCTTTCAATATGGATCTATCAGGTTTATCCAATGAAATAAACCATTTACAAACATAAAATAATCTCATATCAGAAACCCTTTTAGGGAAAACAATTCTTCATTATTTATTCGTGACTGTTTTTTTATTTTCTCCCCATTAAGGCTTGTCACAGTTCATATATAATCACTAACCTTTCGTTATTTCCCAGCTCGCGTGGAAATAAACCGCATTTTAGCCCCGATATATTACAACTACTACACCCCTATGGCGCTGGTGAATGGAGCGCCCATGTACCTGTACCCGAGCATCGAGCACGGGCGCTACGGAGCTCAGTTCACCCACCTGCCGTTCACCCACATCCGTCCGCCGACGCCAGAGCCGTTGGCCCTTAGCCGCTCGCCAAGCAGCCCCAGCGGACCGGCGACCAATCTCCACCCAAAGCACTCACCGACAAGGTCACGGCCGGGCAGCAGCATCAGTACCGTACACTCCATCGCCTCGCCCACCATGGTGACAACGATGGCCACCACCTCCTCCACGACGCTTACGCTTAGCCGGCGACCCAGGTCGCGTTCGACATCGCCAACGACGCCTACAACGCCGCCGCCGGCGCATAGCAGCAGCAATGGATCATACCATCATGGTCATCATCTGGTCAGCTCCACGGCTGCCACGTAGCAGTATCGCAACGTTGCTGCCGCCGTGGCAGCAGCGGCAGCGGCGGCTGTCCTCTTTGTGTAAGTGCAACATGAATTTGTTTCAAGGATTTCGAGTTATTTAGGAACTTAGGTAATAATATTTATTATAATTATATAGTCCATAGGATGCTATAGATTTTTAATTCAGTTTCAGTATATTCTAGTACTGGAATTATAGAAACGTGATCCTAACTTGTATGAAATATAAACCTTTTCAAGGTTTAAAAACACAGTTATATACAAGGAAGCCATATATCATAGCGTTTCGCATAGATTTACAGGGAAAATAAATATGGTAAAAAGCAATAAGGAAGCAAGATACCTTTTAATCTTTAATCTTAACGCTTCTTATGACGTTCGCAGGGTATTAAAATCTAGTTAGAAGCCTACAACACAGTGAAGGAATCATTTTCGACCCCATAAATCATATATATTCTTGATCAGAATCAAAAGCCGAATCGATCTAGCCATGTCCGGGCGAAAAATATATTTTCGAAATTTTTTCAAAATTTTAAAATTTTATACCTCATTAAAATTTACAAAATTTGACAAAAAATCAATTTTTTTAAATTGCAAAAATTAGTATACAGATTTGTTAGCCCTATAAAAACTAGCACAGAAAAGCTTTCCGAATTAAAATTAATGCAGTTTTGACTTAGTTATGATATTAAAAAACTAAGATTTACCCAAGGAATTAGCATACAAAAATATCGATATATATTTCAATTGTCAATCAAAACCTTTATCAAAAGAAAGAAAACTTTTCCAAATTGAGATTAATGCATTTTTGGCTTAAGTTATAATCGATTGATCATCCAAACCCATAATCCTTTCGCTAACTGCAAGGCTATACAAACTTCATTTTCTCAAAGTTAGCTTTATTTCTTCTTATTTTACATTTTAAAACATAATACTTTTAAAATAAGTCTCGCCCTATATTAAGACAAGGTTTCTTGTAGGAAGGCACCTCTCTCTGTGTCTCCGTTTCCGTTTCCGTTTCCTCTTCCGCTCTGGCAGCTCATTTCGCATGCTGGCCCAGGCGCTTTGCCTTTAATCAAATCAATTTCGCAGCATAGTTTTATGCTCACAATTTGGGTTGGTTGCCTTCAGGTCCGTGTCCGGGACCGTGTCCATGTCCGGGTCCCTTTGCTCCCGTTGTTTTCATCTGCCGAACGGGTTGCAATCGTTGAGTGTGGCTCTGTGTGTGTGTGAGCTGTCGGTTGCACTTCCGTACTGCGCACGAAAGTATGCAATGGCTTTTTCATCATTTGTCCTGATGACTCTGCAACGTGGGCAACAAAAGCTGCCCGGATCCTGGCTGCTGATGAAAAACAATTCCTGCTCCTCCTGTTACCCCATCTCCATTGCAATTGAAGCATTTTGCCTTTGGCAACACCATTTGCTTGGTGCTGCTGCTGCAGTTGCTTAATTCGGGAGCGGCAAGTGTTGAATTTCCATGCTGGCATTGGCATTTTTGTTTATATTTTCATTGAGACGATGCAGCAAGACGAGCAGCTAGTGTTTTGTGTTTTCAACGATTGAGCATTTTGTTGCCTTTTGTTTTGCTAAATGATTTGCTTTAATTAAAAACTCAAGTGGCGCCAGAACATCTCCAGTTGCCCCCCCATCTCGAAAAATAGAGGGAATAGGTCTTGGTTTCGGGTATCGAATGCGGGATGCGAGATGGGGGATCTTGGGGCATCGAAACATCAAAACTTACGCTTCGCGCATTTTATTTCCGACGTTTTTCTGCGTTTTTTGTTTTCCCATTTTACGATGCTGCACTGGCAGACCGCGAAGACGACACTTCAGAATGCATATTTCAATGTTTCGGTCTCGTCTAAGGTAATAAAATATTCGCATTGCAGAATTATGAAAGAGGAGCGAATTGGCATCTAAATCTTGTCTAGAAGCGGCATCGCTCCTGGCCCTTCGATTGTTCGGCGCCCATTAAAACCCGCAACACAACTCCTGTCACCTCTTGCCACAGTCCTCCTGTGGCATATTCCTCCTGCATCAAAGGGACGCAACGCAGTGTTCAGTTTTTATGGGTCTGGATCATAAAACCGAAACGGACTGAATCGCTCGAGAGCTGCGTGAAAATATTCTTTTCCTTGGCCGCAATGCGGCCGTCCGTCTGTCGGCATAGTATTTGGCATTTGTGCCCTCTTCTAAGCCTAGAAGAACTTCTCGGCTGCAATTAAACGTTTCCTTTTGAGAGGGCGAGACTACAAAGTCAGGTCGTTGGATCTCGTAAAACTATGGTAAAGTTCGTTTAACTCGGTGATGGATGGGGATCCATTCGCTGAACTACCAAATCAAACTTATTAAAAAGAGTCCGTCTCTTGGTTGTTGGACAATACAAAAAAAATAAAGACGAAAGGAAGCAAACATCGGCTACAACAAACAATTATTCCGGGGCAAAACTCGAGACCATAAAAACGGGCAAACAATACTGAAGAAAACTTTTACGAGCCTTGGGGAGATCCTTCGAGTTCCTGAAAGCATTTCATTTCGCACACGCATATAGAGAAAGAGCGAGAGAGAGAGAGAGTGGAAGGAGCGAATATCCTTTGGAATGGCACTTCAATTCCATTCCAACTCGCTTTTGCTTCCGTGGCCAAAATGGCAATAAATGCATAAGTTTCCGTTTTACGATATTTTGTTTCCATTCGCAGCCGTGCATTTTCCTAGGCACTTCACCTTAACGAAACAAAATAAAACTCAAACTCTCAAATATTTTCCCATGTCCCAGGTCTAATTATATTTCCCAGGTAATTTCTTTGTACATATTTCAGGTGTCCTTCCACACATGCTGTTGTAAATTGACTGATGTTTTGGCACGAAACGGATAAAAAAATATTTTAAACATACATACATCAAAGTGCTATGGGAAAAATGTTTAAGCTGTGGTAGTTAAGGTATTTAAATAATAATATAGGTTTCGACAATAAATAAGAAGTATTTTAGCTATTTAATTGTGCCTCTCTGTATTTCCGGATTATTAATATTCATCTAAAAAATATATATATCATCTACAATATATATGGAATATCCGAAAAATACTCATAGCCTTGCAGGATATTTATATTTTTAGTCAGAAGCTTGTAAATATGTGAAGAAGTCACTTCCGACCCTATAAATCATATATATTCTTGATCAGAATCAACAGCCAAATCGATCTAGCCATTTCCGGTCAAAATATAAATTTTCAAAATTTTTTCAAAATTTGAAATTTTTATAAGGGGTTACATCATTAAAATTGTCAAAAATTTCAATATTCTAAAATGTTAAATTGAGTATGCAGATTTGTTAACCGAATAAAAACTAATATAAGAATGATTTCGGAATTGAAATTAAAGCATTTTTGGCTTATTTATGAGTTTTTTAAATTTCGATTTGTTGATAAAATTGTCATATAAAAATATATATAAATTTTGATTCAAATAATGGTATTTATAATCCAGTCTGAAGCTTGTATCCCATGAATGAGTCATTTCGGACCCTATAAATCATATATATTCTTGATCAGAATCAACAGCTGGTTCGATTTAGCCATGTCCGGTCAAAATAAAAATTTTCAAAAAATTTTCAAAATTTGAAATTTTTATACATCGTTAAAAATTTCATAAATTGGCCAAAAATTTGAATTTTTATAAATGATAAATTGAGTATGCAGATTTGTTAGCGTAATAAAAACTAACACAAGAAAGCTTTCCAATTAGATATTAATGTATTTTTGGTATAGTTATGAGTTTTTTAAACTTGGATTTGTCAAAAAAATTGGTCATATAATCTATTTCAAAAATTTTAATAAAAAATTATTTCTTTTATATTCTATAAAAAGTATATATTTATTTGCCAGATAACAACTACAGTTCTAATGCTTTATATGTTTAAACAATCATTTAAACATATTTGCAGACAACCGACTTCCGGTTAATGCTGCAACTTTGTAGCCACAATGAAGGTTTCTTTCTCCCTTTCGGAAGATCAAGATTATGCATAAACATTCTTCTCGTACATTAAACATTAAACAATATATTGTGAATATTATTGTTGCCATACAATTTCCGCCGATTTCTAATTTCCGCTGAGTTGCCATTAAAAAGAGCAAATCCCTTCGTTTTTAGTGCACCACCACCAGTCATCCCAGTTCCATATCCTCATCATCGCCTGCTCTTGATAGCCAAAGGGGCTGCCATAATAAATGCAATGCTTGCCATAAAAATAAAAATAACAAAAAAAAAAAATACACCAACAACAACAATAACAAAATAAAGGAATAAAAACAAAAAATGTTATAGTTTTCAGCGAGCTCAGTTCGGTTTCAGCTTACGCTGCTCGAATTTCGCTCCGTCATTTTGCTCTGGTTTCCCCCCAACTCTCCACCAACTTCCAATCCCGATCCCTGGCCCAATCCCTGCTTCGGTTTCAGACCACTCACTCACTCACTCACACATCCATTTGTTTTTCGGCGTTCATGTTTATTATTTCTTCAACGTCTTGCGTGCCGAGGAGCGCCCTTCGCTGTTTATGGTGCCGCGTTACGCTTCCTCTACGGTTCGTTTTCGGTTTTTAGTGGACACGCATTATTAAAAAATAAACAATAATGTATGATGTATACAAAACCAGAAACCAAACCAAACCAAACCGAACCGAAGCGAACTCAAGAATCATTTTCAGCTACTCCTTTTTCTGCGGAAACTTTTTCGTGGCAATCGTAAAAAGTCGACTCAAACTGCAGAAGCAAATAAAAAATACATAAAGTTCCTAAATCCCAGAAATTCAACGATGAATAGTTGAATACTCTATGGATAGAGAGGATATTTTATAATCAAAACATATAATTTATGCTCTTCTGAGCTGTCAAAATAAGTACCAATCAAGGACTCGGCTTTGTTCAGATATTTATTAAAAATTCCATGGCTTAAATGTTATCAGAAATTATAATTTTAAAATATTAATACTTAAAGATTGCCCAACCCATTCCCTTCTTAAATTCCACCCACATAAGAGTTTCTCTCATAGAAAAATCGGATTATTTTTCAATATTTCTGGACATTTATTACCCAAGTGAAGAGAAGCCGCTGACAGGATGGTTTTGTAGTGCAGGCTGGGCAACGAAGTGGTTTTCAGTGTTCAGCCGAGCTCAAATGAGTGTTCGACTGCGACAATTAGAAATCAGGCAAAACGAATCGAGAATCGGAGACTCAGCGCCTGCCGCATTATCTTAAAACGTGTCGTAAAAATCACATTTCGCATTATAAAAATCAAGCTCTTGGGTCGGGCGGGACCCAGCTGCTTCGCATATTGTGCGGACTTGGCTCAGGCCAAGACAACAGCCACTTGGTCTTGGTCGTGGGCAACGGGGGCTATAAAATTTGCTTTTACGAGCGCCGGAGCAGAGCTCATTGCCTAAGAGTCCGAGGACACGGGTACGGTCAGGACAGGACAGGACAGGTAAGCTGGCCCAGGATATCTTGGGCCGCTGTCTTTGACTGACTGACAGACATTACAATGATTTTAATGGATTTTATGGGCGAGACAGTGCACCCATATGGGTGTGCTGGAATCGTTGGCATTAAAAATTGTTTTATGCCGTCTTCGCGCTTAAGCATATTGGTATTTTAGAATTTCATACTAATTTATATTAATTAAATGGTTTTTTTCTTTATTCCGCAGCGATAACTAAAAATCATAAGCGAATTCGCTGGAAACCATATGAGAACGGATGATCCTAACTTACCGAACGTGACAAAAAGAAAACCCCCGACTTCCGCAGAAATGTTATTTAATATCTAACCAGGCTTTGGCATAATTCCAACGAAATGTGAAAATAATAAATACCTAGAGTATAAAACATGTAATACCCGAAAACATTTTCAAATTGATCTCAAAAACTTAAAATAATAACACAATTCTTAGAGATTGTAAAGAGCTCGTTGGTGAGCGTACTTATTACAAATCAAACTGTTTACTATTTCGTATGCGCATGTATTGTATATAACATAGTTAATTGAAGCTTCCCTGCAAGAATAATCAAGAATCTTATACCAAACTGCACAAAATCAAAATATTAAGGCACACGATTATTAAACAACTAATAGAACTATGATCATGATCACTTTAAATCGGAACGATACTTGTTCGACAAAGGAATGAACTTAATTCAAATCCGTTCCTTATATTCCGATAAAAGTGTTTAATAGATACGAGATTATCAGCACGAACCATAAAGGATATACCAAAGACCTTAAAATAACAAGATATCCAACGTCATACGATTTGCATTCAAACCACATCTAAATCTTTTTATAATAAGGTCTTTGTTTATACCTTAAATTTCCTAAAAAAATACATTACGGTTTCTTTGGCTGTGCGCTGCAATGTGAAGAAAGCATCCTGCGGTTTATTATTGTTTCGTAAGAACTGATCTGGCTGATCCGAAAGTAGTGTAGCGTACTGTTTTAAGCTTAAAGTACACATTCTCCTTTTTTATACATTTACGTTTTCTCTTGTACATTTTAACAAAAACCAAATATGTTATGCTATTCAATTTGTAGTGGAATTTATTTGTGTCCGCTTGAAATAAACAAAGCGAAATACTAGAATAAGGATATTATTACAACTTAGTAGAAACACATTTGAATTTAAACGAAACTCACTGTAAAACACTAAACAACTTAAATGGCATCCTAGTTAATTTTCATAAAAATGCTTCAAAACAAAGGATAAAAGAAGATACAACAATTATAATTATATTAATAAATAATTCGCTGTAAATAAATATAAACAGGTGTTCCTACTTAAAGCTGAACCTGCGACGATTAGGAAGTATTTTACATTTCTACAGCGTCCTATAATCCAAACAAACCCTTGAGGTCATCGATTGTGAGCTTGGAACTCACAGTGGAGCCCGTTAGAACGCCGTTGGCCAATTCCAATTTCTTATCTTGCAGTGCCTTAATCCTTTGCTCAACAGTGTCTGCGCACATGAATTTGTAGATAATCACATTCTTCTTTTGGCCAACACGATAAACGCGATCCTGTGCTTGAGCCTCCAGCTGCGGATTCCAATGCAGGTCGAGTAGTAAAAGGTGATTGGCACCTATGAGATTTAACCCCACACCGCCAGCAGTGAGGGAGAGCAATAGGACACGCTTATTATTGTTCGGATCATTGAATTGATTTACTATGTCCTGTCTATTCTTCACCGGAACGGTTCCATTTAGCGATAGTGTTTGCATTCCGGCCTTGTCTAAATGACCGCGCAATATATCCAACATCGATGTCCATTGCGATACTAGGATTGCTTTGTCGTCCCTGCTCTTCAGTATGGTATTCTTGAGAATGTCCATCACTTTGATCATTTTCGATGAGGGACGCGTCAGATTAAACACAGGATTGCTGCGTTTCATCACACTCTTGGAGGCCTTGGCAAAGCGTGCCTCTTCTCCCCGTAGCGGAAGCTCATTTTCGCCATCGTCGTGCCCGCTGGATTGCGATGTGTCCGTAATGGCCAATTTATTCAGTTGTGCCAACAAATCGAGTTCCGGCGAGTCACTGTCGCTGCTGTCATGACCATGGACAGCCTCTTCTCCTTCAAGCATCTGAGGAAGAAATATAAGTTCATGATAAACCAATTATTTCAAATTTCTCTTAAAACAGAATGACTCTAAGCCTAACTTACCGCATCAATCAATCCGGGATGGCAACAAATCTGACGTAGGCGCAGTAGCAGCACCAAAATTTCATGGGACTTGACTTCCCTATTGCCGCCAGCCATTCTGGAGAATTTCTGGTGCATTTTGTAGTAAGCCCCATTGGGATCTTTAATCTGGTTATATGTGGGTCTATTGGCATCGGTTATAAAGTTGGCATCCGAGTCCTTTTCGGCGCGCTGAAAGAGAAACTGGGCGAACAGGTTTCTCGAGTACGTCATCACCATTTGATACACATTCATCTCGTCAGTGTCCAGAGTGATCTCCATTAGACGAGTCTCCTTCTCGGGAAGGCTATTCAGCTTTCCCTCCAATTGCAGCTGCGCCTTGGTGCGTCTCAGCATGAGTGATTTCATCAACAGATTTAGCCGGTTCTGTCCGCCGGCACTCTTGTTATCGATCCACTTCTTCCAGGTATTCAGATCGTCGAAGGGGGAGCAGCGCAGGAACTTTAACAGCGCATACACATCGAGCTCCTTGTTTTGAATGGGAGTGCCGGTCAAGGCCCAGCGGAATTTTCCCCTTAGATCGCTTACAGCAATCGAGGACTGCGACTTGTGGTTACGCACCACATGTGCCTCATCCAGGATGATGCGTCGCCAGTTTACCCGGAACACAGCACTCATTTCCTTATGTTCTCGGGCCACAATTTGGTAGGTGGTCACCACGATGTCATAGGTGCGCAGGTGCTTCCCTTTTGTTTCTCGATTGTTGCCGTGATGAACACAAACCGTCAGCTTATTACGCTTAACCTTGGACTCCACTTCGCTTTCCCACTGCCGTAGCAAGCTGGCCGGACACACAACCAGTGTGCCACCTTTGTGGGCTGAAAAATGTCAAGTCAAAACAGTTTTACAGAAAATGTAAAAGTATTAAACTTACTGTCCTTGCGACCCTTTGAGTTCCAACCACCCATGCTTTTCCGCTTGCTGCCTTTCTCGTCTTCCTCATCGCTACTGTCTTGATCACCGCCAGTGCCGCTTTCCTGGCGATTTTTGCAAGCTAGCACGGATGAGATCATGGTCAGAGTCTTGCCCAAGCCCATGTCATCGGCCAAAATCCCGCCTCGCGGTTGCTGTTTTTCACGCCACGACATCCAGGCCAAGGCATGCTTCTGATGACCCATTAGATCTACCTTCAGACCAATCGGATCGTCCGCTAGCACATCGGGTCCTGGACAATCTTTCAAGGAGTCATGGAGATCCTAAAGTAAAAAAATTAGTTTAATTGTTGCACATTACGGAGGGCTTTGCGTATGCCGTTAACCTAACAAATTCAGCTGTGAAACTTTAATCTTAGCGGGCTCTTGAACAGCCGCCGCACAGTAACTCGTGCCCAGCGGCCCCCAAAAATGAGCGCGCTACTCAGATATCCGTTCAGATTCATCATAAGATTTAGAAGTATAACAATAGCCATATTCTTACAAATAATTGAATTTGTGACCTTTACCTTTAGTGAGTCCAGCGTTAGGGCTTTTTGATTGTTAAACGTAGCCATTCCCTGAGTACCCGTATAAACGGGTTTAATTTGATTAACTGCCGCAGACAGCTCCTCCCACTCAGCAGCCTCGCTTTTCGGGGTATTAGGGGCTGGGAACACCGGCTTCGTATCCTTCGTGGCGGAAACCTTGCCCGGTTCTACTTTCATGCTGTTTATGGCACGCAATTTGACTTCAATCTCTCCACGCAGACCATCGATACGCTTCTTTATCTGGCTGCCATTGTCAGGCAGCCTGCTGGCCACCTTTTCATACAGCTTCTCAGCATCGTTCTTCTGGCTACGTAATTCAGCCAGCTTAAGCAGCTCTTCCTGGTATTTCTCCTGACTGATCACATTTTGGTCATTGCTCATAACACGGGATTTTTGGGAGCCAAGCGAAGTGTGTTGCTTAAGAGAAGCCTGAATCGTCGGCTGGCTGAGGTTCTTACCCATCGCGACCGTGGGAGCGCCAGCGCTGCTTCGAGGCGAGTAAGATCTGGTTGGGCGCATAATAGAAGGGGCAGAAACGTTTTCCTTGTTAGAGGCTTCATCATCTGTGCTGGATATCTCTATAAGTGGCTCCTTATTACTGAGAATGAGCACATCACTGCCACTAGAATCGTTCAGGGGCACTGGATCTTCTGTGCCTTGAAACAGGGTTGAGTGCAGATCCTCCTTGATGTTTCCCGCGAATTGAGAGGTATAGCGTGGCATGTCCACAGCTTGCCGGAAACCAGCGGCGGCAATCTCCTCGCGCTCAACCTTATTGCCGGCCGCCTTCTGTCCCTCGTTACTATACTCTATTTCGCTGTCGCCGTCACTCAGATCTTGGGGACGCACCCCGGTGATGCTCATGCGCGTGCAGGGTGATAATGCACGTTGGTCTATCTCATCATCTTCACTCTCGGAGACTATGCGCGGCACACGCAGACGGTTCTTTACAGGCTGGCGCACTTCCACGTCGGACTCCTCCTCCTCGTTGTGCGACGACTCCTCCACCGAATCCCCATCCTCCGAGCCCGTCTCATCTATTACAACGCCAGACTGTCCAGTGGCGTTGCTAAGACGGTTCTGAAGACCGGAGGAGCGACTGGAGCGCCCTACAAAATAAAGGCGGATAATGACAAATTTGTTTTTTTGTTTTGTTTAATGCCTATCACTTACCCGAACTCGTGTTGTTCACCACATCATCCTCCTCCTCACCACTATAATACGTATCACTGGACATTTAGTTATCTTTTTTATTCTCGCACGACGCTTGCAAACTCAGCGCCATTTAATTAGAAGCGTGCCACCTGACAGAAGTTTTAGTGATGGAATGCTACTTAGGTTTAGAGATGCCACCTGACCGAAAATAGGATGAACTATCGATAGGTTCTGAAAGCCACGGCCTATCTTCTTGCGTTAGAGAGGGCGTTGCGAAAAGAATAACTTATACTTAGAATCATCTGCTTTATCTCATTCCATTTAAATATGAGTATGTTGAAAAAATAACAGAAATTTCCGTATCATTAACGATTATTTATGACATGATCGATCATGATTGTGTCACGACTATCGAACTTCCAACCAACAGCCGCGATTTCGCACTTTACAGCACTACCCGCGGACTACTTTAAACCTCTATTACAATTATTGCTCATAAGCTGTTTAAATGGCTCCAGATGGTTAGTATGGCAATTGGCAATTCATATACCCATCTATAAGTACGTGATCTTTCAGAGTTGGAAAGCCAGGTCAAGAGGGCAGAGTCGCCGCCCTGCTGCAGTGCATCGATCATCAGAAGCCAAAACATTACGTCGGGAAATGATTCTGATCAGGATTGTGATTACACCCACAGTATCCTAAGTGGTGAGGTAATCTGCCAGTTGGACTGTTCTGATGAAATCAGGAATCAGCAGCAGACTGAAGTCAATAATCAGGAAATTGACTTATCCAGCGGTAGGTGCTAGGCCAGCTTCAACAACTGTGACTAAAATAGTTTCCTCACAGAATATGCTGACGATCAGGATGTAATATTTATAAGCGAGAAGGAATATTTAGAAAAGAAGGCGCAAATCGACGCGTTAGTCCAGGAAATGCTGGCTTTAGAACAGCGTCAGCGACAGTTCGAGGAAAGTCCAGCCAGTAGCGAGGAGCTACAATGTGTCAGAATGCAGTTGGATAAGTTTAACTCTACTTTGGAGTCATTGGGGGAGTTCCTGGACACTTTGCGCGTAAAGAGAGATGCTCAGCTAGCTACAATCAACTTGGAAACCGAGAACAACGAAGAAATCGAGCATCCACGCTGGTCCAATCTATATTCCGGCTTGAGCCGCCATCGCCACAAGGGCAATCACACTTCGGCCGAGTTCTACCAGCATAAAACGAATATAATCGATAGCTTGAAGGTAAAATATCCAAAGGTTCTGGTCTTAATCTAAACTTTACAATATTATAGACCATATATGAGCCCATAGGGCCAACGCCCACTGCCGACGACCTGGGGGAGCAGCCTACCGACTTGACGGTTCGTTTGATGAAACATCAGTGCCATAGTCTGAAATGGATGCAATTTCGTGAGCGACAGAAAATATGCGGTGGTATCCTGGCGGACGACATGGGACTCGGCAAGACTTTGAGCATGATTGCCTTGGTTTTGGCTTCAGAAGAAAAGAAGCTGAAAAAACGAGCAGACATGAAGCGGGCTTTGGAAGCTAAGTGGACCGAAGAATTCCATCGATTGAAGGTTAAAACAAATCTGAAATTCCGCATGTTCGATGATGAATCTTCTTCAGAGGAAGAGGATAATTACGAGCCACCGATTAAGCGTGTGTGTGACATTCCCGAAGCGGAGATTTCAGAGTCCGATGACGAGATCTACGTGGGAAACACTCTATATCCAAAGGCTGCCACATTGGTGGTTTGCCCAATGAGCGTAATGTGCCAATGGGCCCAGGAAGTAGCTACCAAGGTAGCACTGAATGCCATTAAGACTTTGACCTTTCACGGTCCGAATCGCCGAGACATTGGGATCGACTTAATCAAAAGCCACGATATGGTGATAACCTCTTACCATACTGTGGCGAGTGAGTACAAGAGATACGGAAATGCCTCTGTGCTCTTTGCAGTTCACTGGAACCGTGTGATCCTCGACGAGGCTCACGTCATCAGAAATGTAAAGACTAGTAGCTGCGTTTCCGTCTGCAAGCTAAGAGCACGCTGCCGTTGGGCCTTAACTGGCACTCCTGTCCAAAATCGGGCGATCGATGTGTTTGCTTTAATGCAATTTTTGGGCGTGCCCAATTTTCGAGACCTTCAGCAATGGCGGAAAAATTTAAATGAAGGAATGGCAGCCCACCGCAGGCTAAACTTCTTCATCAAGCCCCTAATGATGCGCAGGACGAAGCAGCAGCTCCAGGCCAGTGGCGACATCCCCGCACTGCCTGTTTTGCATACCGAGTTGATCTGCGTGGTGCTATCTGAGCCGGAAATGGCGGTTTATCAAATCCTGTCCGCTCTGTCACAAAAGATCTTTGCTCAGTTTCTGCAGCAACGCGAGCTGGGCAATAGCGATTTGAACTACTACTCGTTGAACGAGACACCGCAGTTTATCAAGAACACATTTGACGCCAAGTATACTGAAATCTACAATATATTTCTGCGATCGCTTGGTTACAATCCCCGGGATAAACTAAAGGGTATCGTCATCCTGGTTCTCCTGTTGCGCTTGCGACAGTTTTGTTGCCACCCGGGTTTAATGATTGGGGTAAGTATACTTTTACATATACTTTTCGAAAAGACATCCTTAACACTTTTCCGGTACAGATGCTGTGTGGTTCGATGACCGATGAAGATGTGCAGAACGTGAAAGTCGATGTTGAAGATTTGGATGGACCCTTGAAAATGGATGTCCTCGCCGAATTGGACAAGTATCATACCGAAGACGATGCCATTGATTTTGAAGAACCAAAAATACCAAACGTTAAACTGGGAGACGTTAAAAATGAGAAAGAGCCATGGAATAATCTAAAGGAAGAGAAATATTGGTGGGAAGATAATGATGGTCTGCCCTCGGGCCACCATTCTTCTGCTCCGTTGAGTGGTGCCAGGGCTCTTAAGCTACTTAGTCCCCTAAATCCCATCTTTGAATTTAAGCGGCCCTCCGCCAAACTAAAACTTGTTATTGACAAAATTCAGGAAATACTCACCAGCACCTGTGATAAGATCATCGTCGTTTCACAATGGGTGACCTATTTGGCCATCATTCGAGAGTATTTGCAGGATATGTCATGGGAGACGCTTAACTTTACGGGTCAGCTAAGCGCCAAGGACCGCGAGGAAGTTCTTCGCGATTTCAACATTGTTACCAACGAGAAGCGGGTGCTGCTACTGTCCCTCACCGCTGGCGGTGTGGGATTAAATCTCAACGTGGCCAATCATTTGTTGTTGATCGACCTACATTGGAATCCACAGCTTGAGCGACAGGCTCAAGATCGTATTTACCGATACGGTCAGAAGAAGCCCACCTATATTTACCGCTTTATGTGTATGGACACAGTGGAGCAACGCATAAAGGCTTTGCAGGATTACAAGCTAGAGATCGCCAAAGTGGTCTTGCCCAAAGAAGGTGGAGTGTCGTCACACAGTGGCGGTGGTCTCAACCTCGCTGAGCTCAAGAAACTATTCTCAATGTAAACGACAAAATTCTACTTCTATTTCATTTTTATGTGATTTCTAAACCAATATGAATTTGGTTTGTTAAGTTTTTTATTTGTTATTGTTATTTAAGTTCATACAACCGTTGTATTGAGTATTCTTCAAATGTTTAGTTTAACCAAAATAATAGAGACAAAGTAAATACTTATTTGTTTAAACATAAAGATCATTACTGAATAGGGAATATAGAAAGACTTTCTTTAGTCGTATTATTTGAGTAAATCAAAACATGTGTACCTAACCAAGAGAATCTCTGAAAGACGCTGTTTCAAACTGCATCATAAATATCCAAATTCAGTATCAGGAAATAATCCATTTTCCTTTGGAAGCTTACTAAAGTAAAGTTAAATTGTTTAATGGATAAGTAAGAAAGTAACTAAAAAAAAGTCAAAGAAACATTTATATAAGCACTACACACTTCGCCATTAGTCGAAGATGAAAACAAACTTAATATGAAAAAATTAAATAAATAAATAACATGACCATGAATTAATCTGTTCTTTTTTGAAAGATTTTTTTGCAAAGCGATTTAAACACACTTGCGAATATTTTCGTGATTTTCTAGTGCTTTTTTTGACTTGTATTTCTTTGAACAGTACTGACATTTTAGAATGGTCCGAATCTCATGCATTTTACGTTGATGCTGTAAAAAGCTGTATTTCTCGGAGAATACGGCCGTGCACAAATCGCAGGAATACCGTACGCCCTCACCACTGTCTTCGTGGGTGCGAAGGTGCTTGGCCAAAAAATCATTTCTCCGAAAATGTTTAGAGCAGACGGAGCACTTGTACTCCGGCTTTTCAATGTGGGTGTTTAGGTGCCGACGCATGGCTTGTGGTGTGTTGTGCGTAGATTGGCAATAGGGACAGACGACGCTATTTTCCTTGGTAGTAGCTGGCAAGTTGTCTAACTTTGTTCGTTTCCTTAAAGAATATTTTTTCAATTAGTAGGGTTTGAGAAACAAATAACGAGCAAACAACCTACTCGGCCTGCCCAGATGAAGTTGTGTCCTGATCGAAACCACTTTCATTTTGCCTTGAAGACTGATTGTTTTTACTTCTAAGAGTGCTAGAATCGCCGATGGTGCTACTTTCCGAACTAAGGTACAGGTCAGGATCCAACCCGCTGAAAAAAAAAAATGGTTGATATTCGTTATAGAATACAAATAACAAATTTCGTTATTTTCTCACCGTAATATAGTAGTGGATTTCGTTGTAGGATTCGTGTCGTTGACATGATTCAGGATTCCAGAATCGTTGATCATATTGATATTATTATCGTCCTTGTTGACATCGTTGCCCTCCGATTCGGAGTCCTCGCTTGTTTTTCCTTCATGATCCCGCTGATGGATTTTCAGCTGAATGCGGTCAATGAAGATGGCCGAGCACTGACGGCACGGATGAGGTCCCTCATCTTCGTGGGTGCGCATGTGCCGCTTTAACTTATATCTCAGCCAAAAAGCCTTCGAGCATATGGAACAGTGGTGCTTTGGGCTGGAGAGGTGAGTGGCTTGATGGTCCAGCATACTCTTTTTGCTCTTGTACGAGCGTTGGCAAGTCGCACACTTGAAGGGTTTCCCCTCAGAACTAGACGACTTAATTAAGAATTTGGAATGGGGTTGCGTGTCTTGCCCAGATATGTTATTCTGATCAAATTCACTTTCATCATGCCTTGAAGTCGGATCGTCACTGGTTTCTACGCTTAAATCTTTGTTTGTGTTGCCTTCCTGGCTAAAGTCCAAACGTTTCGGCTCGCTGAACATAAATATGAAAGTCGTACATCTTAACTTAAACGTGTAAGTTTGGAATTATGATACTCACAGATCAAGCACCTTGGATTTCTCCGGAGAATCCGAAATGTTTAAATCATGCACTAGCATTGTATGGATTTTTAAATCGTCTTCTAGGATAAAGGAGTCGGAGCAATGGTCGCATAAGTTCTTGTGGACACTGGTTAGGATTAGAAGTTTAGAATAATGTTATATTAGCTTAACTAAACGTACTTTTCAAGCAGCGGGAGATTCTTTTCTATAACATCTACGCTATTTTCCTTGTTGATATTGACATTATTGGCCTCTAAGTTGAGGTCATCTGGAACAGGGCATTTTTCTGCGACTGTTTCCCCATTGTGCTCCCGCTGATGTATTTCCAGCTGAGTGGCGTCGGCACATATCGTGGGGCATTGTTTGCAGGAAACCGGGCTGCGTATGCCATGGAGAAGAAGGTGTCCTATGTAGGAATCCTTCCGCCAAAAAGCCTTTAAACAAGAGGGACACTTGTAAATCGGCTTGGAGCTGTGGGTGAGCAGGTGTCTCTTTAAGCCATGTCTGTTCTTATAGTTGTTTGGGCAAAGGTGACACTCGAAGCGATTATCCTCGACATAGTAGATATTTCGTTTCCTAAAAAAACAGTACAATTTATTGTGCCTTGTTGGAACTTTATATAACTTGTTATTTATCAATTGGAAGCCCCAACTAACCTTTTACGTTCACCGGACGGACTCAGCATTTTTTGTCTGACGTTGGTACCAACACGCTTAGCCGGAGACAAATGAGAACGGAATTCTTCGGCTGTAGGAGCTTCTTTGTGTCCAGCTTGCTGGTTATCGCCGTTCTGATCCCCATCAAGGGATTCCTTATTCTGGAGCTCGCAGAAGTGATGGTAGCTGCGATCGCATTGTAGCTTGAACCTGAAAGCCGTCTGGGCGGCTTGGAGACAGGCCAGGCAAATGAACTGCGGCTGGCTGTCATCCTTTCGAACGGAGCGATTGGTGCACTCACTTAGAATGTAGGAGAGATTTCGCTCCGGCTGTTCGAGAGCCGGATCAATGACATCTGAGAAGATATTCACCATGGGCGACTCACCCATGCACGTCCTGCACACATTATGCATCTTCCAATAAGTAGGTAATTCAGGCAACAACACTCTTAATCAAAGAGTAGCCACACAAATAGCCTGCTGCTGATCGATATTATCTCGTTTGACTTTACGCAAAATTATTATAGTTTAGTACTTTATTCATTAATTTATCGCGTTTTACGAGTAGAAGCGCAACTTTGACAATGAGTGTGGTGTGCGTGCGACAATTTCGAAATAGCGCGGTCTCGTTTAAAACATGGGCGTAACGCAGGGATCGCTACGCTTCTAATACTGTGAGTGCGAGCAGGATGTCAGCTAACGACTCAGTGTACACCGTAAATATTCATATGTATATGTGGACGCGTATTCTGTTGTTTTTTGGGGGCACTCTTCTAATATCGGTAAAGTACCGTTTTACGACATATATGTATGTATATGTGTGAATAAGTTAACAGCTGAAATGCTAATTTTTTTTTTAAGTTTAAAATGATAATAGGATAGATTGTATATAAATACAGAATAAAAAATGAGACTATTATTAATTTACTTAAGTGTACCCACATTTTACACATTTTAAACCCCAATGGTGTTCTGGCCAACGCCACTGCACAAACTGTCCCCGAGTTGGCAGGGCAATCAGCTGTTTCCTATTTGGAGTGCGGAAATACGTCGATGTGTTTATGAACATTACGCCGTTCCATGGGCAAACTAATAGTTATGTGAGTGGCTAGGCCGCAATCACAACGCAACGCTGTGTACCTCAGATTTCTCGTTGGCCTGGATAAGTTGGCTCGTATAGCTCTGCGGTCGCAGAATCGCATTGCACAAAACCGCAGCTCGTTGGCCTCCTGTGGAAATCATTTCAAGCGCCACTGCAGCATTTCTGGGACAGGAAACCAGGAAAGCCGGAATATGCTAAGCCAACTACCTCTCTACGCTGGCGGTGAGATTGTCCGGGGATTTGGACGCGGCTCCAAAGAGCTGGGCATTCCAACAGGTTGGTGGCGATGTGCACTGAGCCTCGAAGGTCATTGCTAATTGATAACCAAACCACTTATTGTTTCCGCGCTGTTAGCAAACTTTCCACTGGAGGTGGTGAAATCTCTGCCGGAATCCCTGCCCACGGGCGCGTACTACGGCTGGGCGAATGTTGACAACGGACCCGTATACAAGATGGTTCTTAGCATCGGCTGGAATCCCTTCTACAACAACAAGGAGAAGAGCGTGGAGACGCACATGTTGCATGAGTTCAACTGCGACCTGTACGGCCAGATACTCAAAATCTGCATTGTGGGCTATTTGCGACCGGAGCGTAGTTTCGACTCCCTTGAATCCCTAATAGCCGCCATTCAGGACGATATCGCAACGGCTAAGAAACTATTGGACGAGGCCGATAAGGCCAAGCTGAAAGAGGCTCCATTCTTCGTCGAGAAGCTCTGACAGAGAGGTTAAAATGATTATTCCAGAAGCTATCTTATCACTTAATTAGCACGATGTACATAGCAGAATTCGAATATCGACCCAAGTACTTAAGCTGGCAGTTTGCATTAAATTCCTCTTCCCTCATCATGACACCAAAAATCAATAATTGTTTATATTTTTTGGCTATGATTCCCAGCTAAGATTATTAATCATGATTTCCTGGATAATGGCTGGGTGTTTAGCAAGCCAATGGCAGTATGATTCGGTGGCTATGTGATTAAAGAAAATCATTTGTATATATCTGTATGTATATAATTTAAATTTGAAAAATACGTTTGTTTTAACACACTTTTTTAATATCGCTCTTACAAATTGCTCCGATCAGATCAAGCCAAAAACGAAGAATAACTGTAACGGAAGCTTTTGCCGAAAAATATACAAAGCTTCAGAATGTTCTTTTGAATTTAGGCGCCTGTGTTGCCGATTCGAACCGATCGAATTCATTAAAAACTAGGGATGGGAGGGATAAATATATCGATATTCCGATAACTATGTGTCCTAAGTGATCGATCACTATTAGGCTTGATCGCCGAATTCCCCCCGCCGACCCCCCGCACAAAATTAAGCTGCGCGTGCGAAGCGTGCGAGGATTTTTCGTGTATAAAACCGTTGCGTAAATCAACAGGTAAGTCAGATCGCTGCAAGCTGCACCAGAAACTGCAATCTTCGATCCAGTTATCATATTGCACATATTTCCCAGCAGCAACATGTCGACGCCACACCAACAGCAACATGTGCGCGTGGTCGAGCCGCAACAGGTGGAACCAGCTGAAGAGGCCGCGACCTCCACCTCTGTCAGTGGCACGGAATCCATATCGGCTAGCAAGGAGCTAACCGGTTTGACCCACGAGTGCGGCGTTTTTGGTGCCATTGCTTGCGGGGATTGGCCCACGCAGATGGACATTGCGCACGTGATATGTCTGGGACTGGTGGCGTTGCAGCATCGCGGGCAGGAATCCGCAGGCATAGCCACCAGCGAGGGAAAGTGCTCCAAGAACTTTAACGTGCACAAGGGCATGGGCATGATTAGCACCCTGTTTAACGACGACTCCATGAAGAAGCTACGCGGCAACCTGGGCATTGGGCACACGCGATACTCCACTGCTGGTGCCTCAGAGGTGGTTAATTGCCAACCCTTTGTTGTGCATACAGCCCATGGAGCACTGGCCCTGGCCCACAATGGCGAGCTGGTCAACAACGAATCTCTAAGGCGGGAAGTCTTAGCCAGAGGAGTGGGATTGTCCACCCACAGTGACAGTGAGCTGATCGCACAATCTCTCTGCTGCGCCCCTGAGGATGTCTCGGAGTTGGATGGGCCCAATTGGCCGGCTAGAATCAGGCACTTCATGATGCTGGCCCCGCTCTCGTACTCGCTGGTTATTATGCTGAAGGATAAAATCTACGCTGTGAGAGATACCTATGGCAATAGACCGCTTTGTATCGGAAAAATCGTTCCAATCAACGCTGGACATGGAAATCGTGAGGATACCCCCGCCGACGGATGGGTGGTTTCCAGCGAAAGCTGCGGCTTCCTTTCCATTGGAGCTAGGTATGTGCGAGAGGTTGAACCAGGTGAGATTGTGGAGCTCACCCGGAGTGGATATCGCACTGTGGACATAGTGGAGCGACCCGATTTCAAGCGAATGGCCTTTTGCATCTTTGAGTACGTGTATTTTGCCCGCGGCGACAGTATCTTTGAGGGCCAAATGGTCTACACAGTGAGGCTGCAGTGCGGTCGACAGCTGTGGCGCGAAGCTCCCGTAGAAGCGGATATCGTTAGCTCCGTTCCTGAGTCTGGAACAGCGGCGGCACACGGATATGCCCGGGAATCTGGTATTGACTTCGCCGAGGTTCTCTGCAGAAACCGATACGTAGGACGGACCTTTATCCAGCCTTCGACCAGGTTGCGGCAGCTTGGGGTGGCCAAGAAGTTTGGAGCTCTGTCGGAAAATGTGGCTGGCAAGAGATTGGTCCTTATCGATGACTCCATCGTGCGGGGCAACACTATTGGACCGATAATCAAGCTGCTGCGCGATGCAGGCGCTCGAGAGGTGCACATCCGGATAGCTAGTCCACCGCTGCAGTATCCCTGCTATATGGGCATCAATATACCTACGCGCGAGGAGCTGATTGCCAATAAGCTGAACGCTGATCAATTGGCCAGACATGTGGGTGCCGACAGCCTGGCCTATCTCAGCGTGGAAGGTCTAGTTGAGGCGGTCCAGCAGAAGCATCGGGATGCAGGCGATGGCCAGTCCAAGCCCACGGGTCACTGCACCGCCTGCCTCACTGGCGAATATCCCGGTGGGCTGCCCGACGAGTTGAGTTGGTAATCCTTATCGCACATTTCCCATATTTAGCCCACGGAAACCAGTTTTATTATTCTCTTTTGCCCACCAACCACACAAACTGAACGTTTGCAGTATCAAAAGCCATCGAGGGCGCGGAATTGCAGTCACAAATTTTGCATTTAGCTTATCTAGCGTTATAGACCCACTCACCCATTCCCATTTACACTCTCTCTACCTTTTTAGATCCTAAGTGAAATGCCATTAAGCTCCCAGAAACTTTTTTTGTCTCTGAATCTACACACTCATAGTACAAAATATAGCCCTCTATGTTGCCCCACTTGAGTTTATACATATTAAAGTTTTCGATTCAGAATGCCAATAATAAAGACATTTAGAATAAGAAGAAACCTAAAATAATATCGGGGTTTATGGGAGCAAGACCTTGAGGGTATGGAATTACATATCCGATATCATCTAGAACAGGCCAAGGTATGCTCAATCAGCCGGTCGATGGTTTATGCTTCATGTAATATTCAGATCAAGGTAATGATAAATCATTAAATCTCTTCAGCCATGATTTTTTTTGAATTGAAAACATTTCTTAGGGTTTAAGCTAAATTTTTTCTGATATTTATTCTTAATTATATTTATTTAAACTAAAACGTCCAAAATGTCAGCAAAAGAAAAGAAAAGCAGAACTCTGCAGTTAAGAATAGTAGAATTTATGACTCTAGCATATTCTCAAAGTCCTTCAGCTCCAATTCTCGTTCGATGACCTGCGTATAAAGATTATCAAGTGTTTCCTGCATGCGCTGTTTCAAGGTGGCATTCTGGATGGAGGCAATTTCCGTCGATTTTTGAGACTGCTGAGCCTTCAGTTCACTTATTTGCCGCGTCAACTGGCTAATTTTCTCCTGGACCTGCTGCTGCGTGTATTGCGGTTGTGGATCTTCCATGAAGTCCATGTTCTCAAACTCCTCCCGTTTGTTTAGCATCGAGCTGTCGTAGAAGCCACTGGGAGCAGCCAGGTTGGAGCTCGAACCGGCGGCGCTCAGTTTGGGACTGCTCGGTTCCTGACCAAACATGGACTTGTTGAACTCATTCTGCTCCATTTTCAGACCGCCAGCTCCAGTATTACTGCCACTGGCGGCGCCAAAGAAGTCCGACATTCGCGAATCATCCGCTGATAGGCGTGAGGATTCCTCCAGCTCCCGCCGCTGCCCGGTGGTATTGCCGCGATCAGGTTCATCCTCGTCATCGGTGGTAGAGACTTCCTCGCCGAAGATGTCATGGGCGGCAACACCCATGTTGGGTGCTCGGTGGGTTGGGAAGTTGCTCGTTTCATCGTCATCGGACTCTACATTGATATCACGCTGTAAGCTATTTTCCATGATGGTCTTGTCGCTGGCATGCATGGTAGTTTCATCCTGCATATCATCATCGGCGTCGTTGTATGGTTTGATGTCTGATTGATCCAAGTCAGGCTTATCCTCCTCATTGATGATTTCGTAGTCCACCCTGACGGCTTCGTTATCAATGCGAAGCAGGTGCTTCACTTCCTTCTCGATTTCCGGGGCCTCGACGTTTTTCTTTTTCAGAGTTTTCCGAAATCGACGTTTTCTCACATTCTTGCACGGCGGTGTAATCCCGTGTGGAAACAGATACTTCTTGTCTACCTTGTTGGGATCCTTCTTCTTGTTCTTGTTGGGTGATTCCTTCTCCGTTTCGTCATCGGGTTCCTCTTTGCAGACGAGTATCTGGCAGATGTCCGCTGATTTGTAGAAGCTCTTGTTGTCGATGGTCTTGTAGCTCTCCACTACGGTGGGCAAATCTACGAGCTTCGCGTATAGCAACTGGTCATCCAAACGGACTTCTCCGTAGCGCAGATCTTGATCCAATTGAATGGTCAGTCGATCCTTCACGGTTCCAGCATTTATGGCCTCATGGACGCTGTTAGCGAGTTCCTGAGGATTATAAGACAGCCAAATATTGCCGGGCATTGTGTAAACAAAGCATAACACAACTTACCTTGGGTACGCGCATAATAAACTGGCTTTCCAGCTCTACGCCATCATCTCGCGGCTTGTGCTCCCCTTGCTTAACCTTGTCGCTTTTCTTTTCAAACATTTTAAAACAATTTAATTGTTTAAATACGTGATTCTTCCAGAAGTAAACATTTGTGTTTGTCAATCTTGGATTTCAAGTGTTGAAAAACGACTACATATAAAAAAGTCACGACTTTCGTAAAGTTCCAACGGACTAATTTTCGATTTAGTTGATAAAAATGTAAATATTTTTTTCTTTTTTAAGCTATCAATATGCAAATTTATGCAAATTTGCGAGTTAACATAGCTTATTAATTAATAAAAACATGTTAGTCACGAGTTATTCGTGCGCTACTCTACACTGTTTTCGATAACGATGAAATATCGTATGGCCAATTGTCATAACCAACCCTGTTCCAATTTCTTCTTCTCATCCCTTTTGCTATGACGGAAAACACGAATTAATGTGGATTTTGATTAGTTTATAACATAGAAACGCATAGGAAGTTGAATAATTAGTGCTCACGTCAGTCAAAGGGGAGAAAGCAAGGCGGACGACATGCAGGCGAAGGGAATGCTGGCCGGTTTTTCGGCTCTTTTGCTCTTGAGCACCTGCTCGGCGCTGTACGAAGACCAGATCAAAAAGTTCGACTGGTGAGTGGCATGATATCTGACCATTGACCCGGCGTTAATCCGGTGGTTCTATTCATTCCCCCCTGCAGGCGAGGTGTGAATGTGGGTGCTTTGCGGCAGTCCCGCGTGGACCTGAACCACTTTCAACCGCGAATTCTGGTCAGCACGAACGAGGGTGTCGTGGCCAGTGTCTGCGTGAAGACCGGTGAAGTTGTATGGCGTCAGGTGCTAGAGCAGAAACCGCGCGGCGATATCAAACTTCTGCAGGTGAGCGGCTTCTCGGACGATAGCAGTGATACGGCCGCCGCTCCTATTGGCAGCAACCTGGGCTTCGATATGCTTACCGTTCAGGGACATGCGCCGGCTCTGGTGCGCGGTTGGAACACCAACATGGGCGCCCTAGAGTGGGAGTGGTCCACTATGCCGCTGAACACTGAGCGGGCCCAGGATGGCTTATGGCTTTACAGCAAATCAGTGCTGTACCACGTGGTGCCGACCTGGAAAAGCCACTTGGAAGTTACCGCCTATTTTGCCAGTTCGGGCCACAGCACTGGAAGTACTAGCAAGGTAATGGCCTCGTGGATCACGCCAGAGAGCTGCCTACTCAGCGGTACGTACTACATCTGCATAGATGGCAAGCAGTTGATTAGCCTGGATCTGGTGTCCAAGAGTGCCCAGGCTTTCCGAACAGCGCTCATAGCAGAACCAAAGAGCAAACTGCAGCCCTTGGCGGTAAGTTACACATTAAGTGATTCAATGTCTCGAGTTGTTCATATTTATAGCACATAATTGCAATTAATAAATAGGGTCTCAATGGCGTGGTGATTGCGGATGGAAAACTCATCAGTGTCAATAAGGACCAAGCCGTCTGCGGAGATTTGCAGAGCTCCAGTTACGCAGTGGGCAGCTTCAACTATCGCAAGATCCTGGCCTATGCAGATGTTACTTCTGGAGTGAGTTCTTTACTGTTGAATATTCTTTATTATACAATATTTATGAAAAATTTTTGTTTTTGTAGATTCTCAAGATCAATGCCGTTTACCTGGATAACTGCTCGCCGGCAGTCGAACTAGAGCAAAGTTTGCCCTTCCCCGAACACTTTGGCAGTCCATCGTTGAATAGCTTCGACTGCAAGCTGAAACGCAATGGAGAGGGCAAGGGCTGCCTGTTCCTGTTCAGTACGAGTGCCGAGTCTATTCTGGCCGTGCAGCAAGGCCGCATCCGCTGGTCGCGCGAGGAGGCCCTGGCTAACGTAATTGATACGCAGTTTGTGGATCTGCCGCTGGCCGATACCGAGGGGACACTGGAGAATGAGATGAAAGGCAAGGCTGGTGAGTATTGTTTTTAGAAGATAAACTTAATTGAAATTCTAAATGATTTATTCCAAATATTGCCCACCAAAGTGGATTTCACAAGTTTCGAGAGTAAGTTAATTTGAAGAAAAACGTAAAAGAATGTTGTATATTGTATTGTTTATAATTTCCAATATAAGTTCATGAAATGCTGTTGTAAAAGTGCACACAACCACAATTTTATTTTGTTATGCAAGCCCCCAGATTTTACTGTATTTTTTATTTTTTATATACATAAATTACCACAAATTAGTATATAATCTCATGGCTATCAAAATCCATCAACAGGAGATATTGTCAGCGCGTTTTTGCGACGCATCACTACACAAATTGTTCAAATCCGAAGCTTGTTCCTCCATGTCATCGGTCTTGGTCCACCACCAACGGCCACTCAGCGAGCTGGTCTGGTCCGTGATTCCTTCGGCCTCCACAAAATGCTGGTTGTGCTGACACGTTCTGGAAAAATATTTGGTATTGACAACATCTCCGGCAAGCACCACTGGCAACTGTATCTACCCAATGTGAAAGGCTTTGACAATGCCGAGCAGATGCGTCTGATTGTCCAGCGATCGGCCAAGCACTTTCCCCTCCAGCCACTCTGCACCATTTTGGCCAAGGATGCTGTAAGTTTACTGGTGCTCTGGCCAACTTCCCATTTTAATACCCGTCTTTGCTGTAGGTAACTGGCAACGGAGTGCTCTATCGCTTCAATCCCATCACAGGCCAAGCCTCTGAGGGCGGTCTCCTGCAGCTAGACTACAAAGTCAAGCAGCTGTCATTGTTGGGCGAGACTGAAAAGGACTTTGTCAAGGGAATTCTCTTATTGGATGCCTCTAACAAGGTCCATGTATATCCTCAGCATGCCACTTCATTGGTAAGGCACAAATATCTTATTTCAGTATATATTATTCTCTGAAACACTTGTTTTTGGTATATTCTCAGGCCGATGGCTTATATCTCTACACAGCCGATGTAAAAACCTCTGAGTTGACTGGGTACTTTGTGAAATATGCGGGCGGGGTAAGTTAGACCATTTAAAGTTCTCCGCGCTGTTCCCTAATTAATATATTTCCCGCAGCAACTATCGAGCACGCACATTTGGAACGTACGCTTGGGCGGCCACAATTCTGAGCAGCAAATTATCGGCATGGCCGGCAAGAATCCCATTGAGCATGTCCACTCGCAGGGACGTGTGCTGGGGGATCGTTCGGTGCTGTACAAATACATCAATCCCAATTTAGTGGCATTCGTAACCCAGGCGCCGGATGCAACCCATAAATGTGCGTTTTAAAGTATTTCCTTTATATGGAATCCACTAACTTCTCACCAATGCCTTCCTAGCTATTCTTAATTTGTATCTGGTCGATGTGGTTTCTGGCTCTGTAATTTTCACGATGACGCATCGCAAGGTGCGGGCTCCATTGAGCATCGTCCACTCGGAGAACTGGCTGGCTTACTCCTATTTCAACGAGAAAGTACGACGTACAGAGATTAGTAAGTAAACGCTCCTTATACGGAATCAACAGCGAGTTAACATTAATATTTAAATTTAAAGCCACCATTGAGCTGTACGAGGGCAAGTCCCAGGCCAATAGCAGTGTTTGGAGCTCCCTGCAGGCGCCACCAATGCCACTGGTAGAGCGCCAGTCTTATATCATCCCAACTATAGTCGAGGCTCTGAGGGAAACGATCACAGAGCGCGGAATTACCAATAAGCATGTGCTGAGTACGTTATAAAAACTTATATTTAATCAGATGTGACTTACCAATACTTTTTCATACTCGTAGTTGGCACCTCCAGTGGTTCTATTGTGGAAATGCCGTGGCATTTGCTGGACCCCCGCCGTCCCATCGCCTCCACGACGCAAGGGCGGGAGGAGGGAGCTATTCCCTACATACCCGAGTTGCCTTTGCCTACGGAGAGCCATATAAATTATAACCAGACGATCGCGCGCCTGCGTAATATTTACACAGCGCCCAGCGGTCTGGAGAGTACCTGTCTAGTCGTCGCCACGGGCTTAGGTGGGCATCACATGAAGGTAGCAGTCTTAAATAATTACTCAAAATTTCAATCTTTTCCAGATTTGTTCGTTACGCGCGTGGCGCCATCAAAGACGTTCGATTTGTTGAAGGAAGACTTTGACTACATTTTAATTTCCATAGTGCTAGTCGCGCTCACATCGGGTTCGTTGATTGTTAAGCATTTAGCGTCGCGTAAATTGCTCAAACAGGCGTGGAAGTAGGCGTGGCATTATTACAAAATAATTGCTTTATATAAATATACAATTTTACTGCGACCAAAAATTCAACAAGCGAGAGGACGGAATAAAGAGCAAACGGAGCGAAAAAGCGAAGAGAATATTGATATATTATAACATAATTTTGGTAGCCGCATTACATACCATAATGCAATTGATAAACCCCATTTCTCAACGCTAAGCCTAGGCAATTATTTATAAATAATTATATAGAGTTAAAGTCAGATAATTATAATTAGCTGTTGAAAAGGTTTTCATTGCATTTTTGTGTTCCTTAATTTGTGTACGTTTCAATTTCCATTTATGAAAAATATCAGCATTGAAAGTGAGTGTTTGAAAAGTGTAGTTAATAAAAGCATTTGTAAAGGAGGATAAAGGTAACAATAAAAAAGAAGTTTTTCATCAATTTAAATTATTTTAACACTTTTTTTAAATTCCTGTTAACTTCATTGTGTTCTGGCATTGTGCGGGCATGGTATTCAATTTACAAATTTAATTTTCAACAATGAATTTGTTAAATACAATTGTCTTACCGCCAACTGGCGATTGTTTTATTTGTTATCGATTGTACACTAAAAGAACCGATAGTCACGATAAATCAAAAAAACTTTATAATTTTCCAACACTTGCTACAGAGTCTACCTGCAGCTGATTGAGCAGCTGTTTATTCTTCTTCTTTCCGCTGTGCTCTAAAAAATCATTGCAATGGCACTGCGTGTTTTTGGCTTAAATATAGTGAAAACTAACAGGAATCTCCTACACAATGGATTCAAGTCACCTGCCATTCCCACAGGCCATATGGTAAGCAAAAAAACAAATTGTAAAAATACGTAAATTTGCCGATTTTCGCGACATTCATACTTACGCCTTTCAACGTTTGCATAACTTTGCAGGTGGCGGCGGCTTCATATGCCACAGAAGTGACCGTCCAGGCTGCACCGGCAGCTGTTCAAAAGCAAAAGGTCAGCAAGGCTATGCGGGCGTACCTGAAGCGAGCCAACGAGCATGACGAGTTCATGAAGACCCAACATCTGGAGTTCCAGATCGGCAAGCGGCACTTGGCCAATATGATGGGCGCCGATGCGGAGACTTTTACGCAGGAGGATGTCGACGTATTTGGCAAAAGACGAAAAAAGATTTACCAAATATAATGCATTAACGATTTGCAGGAGGCGATATCATATCTGTTTCCCTCGGGCTTGTACGATCCAAAGGCCCGGCCTGCCATGAAGTCGCCGGATGTTGTATTCCCAGCGCGCAAGGCAGCAGAGTTTGACGAAACGGGAAGGCCATTCCACAGCTTGTTTTACACCGGCAAGCCCAACTTTTTCCAGCTGCTGCATGTAAGTTGCAAGTTTAGTTAATTAGATTATTAGATGTGTTTTAACTGTGTTCCTATTGTTAAAGGATATAGTGGAGGAAACCAACAAGCTGGCGGATTTGGAGGAGCGCATGCTGCGTCGTGGCAACAAACCTGATGAAAATCAGAAGCTGTAAGTCATGTCAATGTTACTTTAAAAACAAAATACGAATAAGTTAATTTATTTTAGTGAAATTGCTGGCTTCCAGCTTATGCCTAAAGATCAGCTCGAACTTTTGCTGGTGGAGAGCATTGCGGATATTGAGTACTCCAACTTCTGTAGCTCCATGGATCGCCTTATCGCTTCGCCTTACGCATATAAGAGCAAGGCTTTCATTGAACGATTTCTGAAACCGCTGATGGATCAGTCCAAGCAATTGGAGGTGCCCAAACCAAAGATCGACGGGGAGGGACGTCAGTACATAACCACATACGAGTGCCTGCGCAAGACAGCGAGAGCTGATGTTACTGTCCGGCTGCCGGGTACGGGAAAGATCAGCATTAATGGAAAGGATATTTCCTACTTTGAAGATGAAAACTGCAGGGAGCAGGTGAGTCTCATGAATGTTATTGTTTTACAGCGTAGCGTTTTTTCGATATTGTCTGCGATATAGTTTTCTTAGACTGATTAGACTTTTTTATCCACTTTGGCTAGGGATGTAGATATAGAAACAGGAAATATTTTACACCCAGTATTATTTCAATTTAAACCAACTTTTGCTTTGCCATAGGGAAACATCATATCAATTAATAACAATAGATATAGCATATACTTTATTAAGAATATAAATTTGCATTAAATTATTATGTATGATGTACACGATTCTCTGACGACAACGCCAAAACAACACAGCCTGAAACCAGCCACAAATCAATCCTGCCAACTGCTCGCCTCTAATTTAACTAATCACTAGTTATAGTAGTATTTGTATGGATAATAGTATGGTGTGGTATATGGCTATATAGCGTATGTATAGGGCGCCAGGCGCATCGATATCAAAATTTCTTTAACTACAACTCGCTGCTACGGTATAATATCAACAGTGTTCTGGGTTTTTTTCGGGGTCTTACCAACCCTCCGCCTTACGTCTAGAATAGAGCTAACTCTGGTTTATAAATATGCCAATACGGAGTGTGCACTAAATGCTACTGCTACTTGCGCAGATTCTGCTTTTGCTGATTAGATATGACAATCAGCAGCTTGTCGATCACTTTGCTGGCCTGCTGTTGCTGCGAGATGAGCGCCTGCTTCAGCTCCTGGATCTCCTGGGTAAGGAACTCGATCCGATCCGCATTGTCATCGATTTTGGTGGTCAGCGTTGTGAACTGGCCTCCATCCGGGTCAGCATCGGGCAGGACATAACCCGTGGTGGCGCAGCCATTGTTATTGTTGTACTTGTTCTTGTACGATAGATAGTTCTCAGCGGGATTCTTCGAGGACACCGTGTGCCCGAAGTGTTTGCGCATCTTGCCCACTTCGTACGCCTTCATAAGGATGTCTCTGGGCAATCGTTTCTCGCTGGGATTTAGCGGCTTCACACACAAAACCACTCTATAAGCTTGAGGTGAAACCAGAGCTGTATAGTGAAGCAAGTTCCGCAGCCAGGTGGGCAGATAGCCATTAAATAATGCCGACTCTATGTAGCTTATTAGCTTGGTCTGACGCACAAGCTTCGATAGTCCCGCTGTCTTCTTTAATCCCTGGATATCGTGGACAGCTATACCCACCAGCAGGTTCATCAGGATGATGGTCACAAAGAGTAGGAACAGCACGAATGTGATCTGCGCACTAACCTCCAGGAGAAAGGGTGGATCTTTGCCATCAGGATCGTTAATCAATAGACTCAAGTCCTGTTCACCGATCATCATCACCAGTACCGTGATAAATCCCATAAAAGGATTGGCAAACGACGATGATGAAGGAAAGATGACACAAAAACTGATGGTGAACCCGATAAGCATGCAGGAATATGCCATAAACAGCTTGGCGAATTCTCCCTGGACCCTCGTATACATGGCCACGTAGACATCGAAAACCGGAAGCTGTCCAATCATTAGCATCAGGTTCGTCCAACCCAGGAGCACCGCAAAAGCGCCTATGTGATTCTGGAACGTGTACGTCTGCTTGGTGTATATATAGGATATAACAAAGACGCTTGTGATCACGAACCACTCCATAATGTTCTCCACTTGCGTCACGTAGTGTCGAAACGAAGAGTAGCCCGTTATACCGTAAAGTTTCCTAAATATCTCGACTATGGTGATGGCAACCAGCACCCACCACTGCATCTCCATCACGAATGGGTTGTTCCTCAGCATATCTCCCAGGATAGATTGTTTCTGGCACAACTCCTGCGCCTGGATAGTCGTATTGTCGTCCTTGCTGCCATTGTAACAATTATGGGCCAGAGCTGTCAGCACGTAGAGTGTGAGGAAGAGCACGAAGCTAAAGCAGAAGATCAATCTGCCGATGTAGTACTTGCGGATCTTGCCCCACTTGATGTAAAGGAACGACGAGCACAGTGGGTGCTCCAGGATCTCCTTCTGACCCTCGTCGACAAAGGTGTTTAGGTAACTGATCTCGCGTGGATGACAATGCTGCAAAAGCTGACGGAAGTCTAGCTCCAGTTCCACCTCACGATTCACGGGGTCCTATATATACCAGAGAACCAGGAGAGTACTTAGTAGAGCTTGCCCAAACTTTATAGAATTATCCCTTCAACTCACCTGCGAGTGGTGCAGCGTGATGGCCGCGTCCAGTTTCTGCCTGATCATGGCCACCGAAGCAGGCGTCTTCCGGGTGATGACGTTCAGAGCGGAGGTGCCCTTCTTGGACTTGGTGGTCACATCCGCTCCATGGAATATCAGCATCTCCACACACTGCACTAAGCCGTCCAATGCGGCCAAGTGGAGAGCTGTAAACCCATAGATATCCTTGTGGTTGACATTTGCACCCCACTGGATAAGGGTCTCCATGATGTCATAGGCATTCTCTGACTTTCCAACTGCCGCATGGAGAGGAGTGCGATGATCAAAGTCCTCGGCATTGGCATCGGCATTGCCGTTCCTCAGCAGAGACTCAACGCACTCCAAACTGGAGGTTCTGGCCGCCAAGTGTAGGGGCGTGAAACCTCGGTGATTCTTCAACTTGGCATCAGCTCCCTTGGCCAGCAGCAGATCGACGCACTCCACATTGCCCTCATCTGCTGCCAGATGCAGGGCTGTGGATTCCTTTTCGCGGATGCAGATTCGCACATTAGCATCCGCATTGGGGGCATTCAGGAGAGCTTCCAAGCACTGCAAGTTACCCAGATCGGCAGCCAGATGAATGGCATTGGTGCCATTTGGCTTGAGCGAGTTCACATCGGCACCCTCGCCAATGAAGATCTGCAAACACTCCAGGGCATTGGATCTCACCGCACAGTGCAAGAGGCTCTCCTCGCAATTTGGTTTATTAGTATCCTTGGATATATCGGCTCCATTGTTGATCAGGAACTTGGCCGCCTCAGCTGCATTGCCAAAGGCGGCGCAATGCAATGGCGTGTAGCATTTGGATTGAAGATTGACATTCAGGCCCTTGGCCACTAGGAGGCCGAGCGTGGCCAGGCAGCCACTGAAGGCACCCAGATGTAGGGCAGATATGCCATTCTGATCGCAAAAGTGGAGCTCGGCTCCCGCCTCCAGCAGACTCTCGATCAGATCCCAGCGCTTGAGATATGCGGCCCACAGGTAGCTGAGATTCTTCTCCAGCTTCGAGGCGGCCTCGAAGTGTGTCCGGATGCTCTCGGCCACCACGTTGCCCTGCTCGATATCCTCGAAGAGGCGCACTCGGCCGGCGGCACTCTTCATCTGGTCGATAAGACTGATCCGCAGCGTATCGTTGCATATTTGGACACTTAGCTCGCTGGTCGGCTCCTCGAAGCTGTCGTACATGCTCGGCGCACTCTCCGCCGGCGGTGACGGTCCACACTCCATGTATTCGAATTCTCCAGCGGTCGGATACTGGGCTTCGATCATGGCGTCAGTGTTGTTCCGCCATCGCACCATCAGGTTGGGTGGAATCGATTTGAAACTGTTAAAGGAGTAGCGAATTAAGTTAGTCGAAGAATGGGATAGGGTTTGAACTTGAAGAGGGAAAGATAATGAATGGGTTTTAAAATTAGTTCTATAACTAGCTTATTGATTTTATTTGTACTGTTTTATATTCCCACTTAGTTGAAATTATACGGTATGGAATACTAACTTAAAGCATTTGTACAGCCAGTGTGAGCTTCTCATCAAATAACTATCTAACGCTTTAATTGCAGTAAGTTAATTCATCATCAAATTGAAAGACAAATGATTGTAAAAAATTCTCAACATGTTAATTCTTTTTATACCCTTGCTGGGTATATTAATTTTAGTCAGAAGCTCGTAAGGATGTGAAATATTCATTTCCGACCCTATAAATCATATATATTCTTGATCAGAATCAACAGCCAAATCAATCTAGCCATGTCCGGTCAAAATATAAATTTTCAAACTTTTTTTCAAAAATTCAAATTTTGTAAGGGGTTACATCATTAAAATTGTCAAAAATTGGCAAAATTTTGAATATTCTAAATTTCTAAATTGAGTATGCAGATTTATTACCCTAATAAAAAGTAACATAAGAACGACTTCCGAATTAAAATTAATACATTTTTGGCAAAGTTATGAGTTTTTTAAACATTCGATTTGTTGAAAAAATTGTCAAAATGTCAATATCTTTGGCTTTATTTTAATTACCCACTTAATGTTTAAATCCCTTAGAGGTATTCTATCAATACTGCAAATATGTACGTTTTTATTGATCTATCTTCTTTTAATTTAAAACTGGATTACTGTGAACTAAAAGCTATCTTTGGGTTTCAGATTTAAACAATCAATAAACTTAGTCTGGGATTTGCAAACACTTTTATGGCTGGGAAAGTTTCCTTAGTTCACGTAGCACACAACATTTAATCATCATTCCTCACACCTCACAACTTTCAGATTAATTACTGATTAGATTTGAAAAATTAGGGTTTTAATGACCACACTTGCTGAAAATAACCAATTTAAAAAACACTATTTTTATGATTTTGTAGTTGTTTACTGTTTTGCAAGAACTTGTAACTATTTCAAGGGTTCTGAGCACGATAAATCACTTGGCTTAAATCATAGACAAAGCCATTAGAGAGAGATTCGCACTTCTCTTTGTCTCGACTCCCTTGTCGCTATGTGAAACGCTTTTTATGGATTTGTAAACATATATTTTCCATTGCTTAAATGGCACTGAACACCAGAGTTCGAGATCTGTTGACTTTTCGAGCATGCATAATTTTAAATAATTATTGTGTGTGTGTTATTTTGTTTTTGCGTTGAGAGTTATGCAAAGTTGGCAGATTGTCTAAAGCTTTAGTTATTTTATTTAATTTAATTTTTTTGTTTTAGTATTTAGTTTTTCCTACTGTTCACTATTCACTAGTTGCCGTACGTTGGTGGATTTGCCGACTGCACCGGTTGGGTTTGTTTTATTTGAGATGTGCTCAGCATAGTGACTCGGCTGCATAAATCTAGACCTTGTCCATGGCCAGAAGAGGCTGCACTTGTTGTATAACCAGAGCTACTGTTCGACTACGACTAAACTACACTATGGCCCATTGTTGGGCACTTAAAAGCTGGGAATCCGGGGGATCCGCGGATCCGACTTGGACCTGAATACGTACACCGTTTGCAGCCATATCCACGGATGATGCCAATTCGCCAATGAGCTGTTTTCAATTTCTAATTTCATTTCCGAAATACATGGGAGAGCCCGTCGACCGTCGACTGTTTGACCGATCCACAAAATACGGACTGAGGATCGGTCCAGAGGGACGGGTATGGATTCGGATCGGAGCGGATCGGATTCGAATAGAACGGGACAAGTGCCTCACAATGGGGGCCTTTTGTAGAGGCTTAGACAATTGTGTCTAACGGGCGGAAAATGTACAAAATTTTGTGTGAAAAAACGCGAATTTTTCACTTCCGTTTTGTTGTTGTTGCTGTCGATTTTTCGAACGTTATTTCAGCTGATATTGTTATGATTCGTCGTTGTTGTTGTTATTTTCGTTGTTGCGAGAGACTACGATCACTACGAACGCGTTCTAGCCTTAGTTAGTATTTGTTAGTTTAGTGTTTTAGCCAGCTACGAACGCGTCCGCCTGCATTGTTGTTCCAAAACCGACTGAGCCCGAATGGAAAACCGTAAGCCGTTGTTGGTTAAGCCATCGAGTCAAGATTGAGATCCGAAAAGAGAGGTAAACTACAGAGTGAGAGACCTGTTAGGGGGAGATATTTTTTATATATAGAGAGAGAGAAAAGGTGGCTCTGGAGAGTGTGTGTGATCGATTGCCAAAAATTCTTTTTGGATTCGGTACGAGTGGGTGTGAAAATCTTTGACACATCTTGACTAGAGAGTTGGGCTTTTGTGTATGAGTAAATAAGAAAAACAATAGTAAAAACAAAGAAAGGAAACTAGGTAGCCGTAGTTTTTGCATTTTGTATTTGAATTAAAGGATAGAATCGTAAATTGATCATAACTAGGCTTAAATATTTCCTATCTTTGAATCAATATTTATTAATAATTTTATATGACAAATTAAAGTTTTAAAAACTCATAACTAAGCCTAAAATTGATTAATTTAATTTCGGAAAGCGTTTCTATGTTAGTTTTTAAAACGTTAATAAATTTTTATACACAATTTAACATTTTAGAAAACTAAAATTTTTTTCAATTTTTGACAATTTTAACGATGTAACCCCTTATAAAATTTTCAATATTTGGAATAAATTTCAAAAATTTATATTAAGACCGGACATGGCCAGATCGATTTGCCTGTTGATTCTGATCAAGAATATATATGATTTATAGGGTTGAAAATGATTCCTTAACAGCATTTCAAGCTCCTGAATGAAATTAAAATACCTTCAAATAAAAAATAAATTAATGGAAAAATGTAAAGTGGTCTTTAACACGATTTTTTAATTATTGTAACCTTGAAACTTTATGTCATATACCTAAAAATACACTGAAGTATAAGTATATTACGACGAATATATCTTCAGGGGCTTTAAATATTTATATTTCGCAGGCAAATAACAACGTTGTCCTTAAAACTACATTTACTTTCAATCGACATCTGAAAACTCTATTTTTCAACCCTACTGTAGGGAAAATAAAATACTTTAAAGTACTTTAATGTTAAATTCAGTTAATTTGAAAGCCCTTTGTTGTTTTATCCATTAATTAAAGCTTTGTTTTTAAATTCTTCAAGCAATTTCTTCAATTTGATACAACCTTCAGAAATATTAAATTTCTTTCTTTATTTCTACTCTTTTAATTTATTTCTAAGCCCACCCCTGATTAAATATTTAAACGTACCGTTTAATGTACTGCCATGACTAAATCCTTTTAATTAAGTTGCCTACATTTTAAACATTAGTTCTACTTCCTACTTTTTGTTTGCTTTTTTTGTTTTGGTTTTAAACCATGTGAAATAATAATAATCGGCAGCTGAGTTGTGCAAAACAATTTGTTTTGTGGAAGTCAGCCGATTTCTCCTCGCAGAAAAACAGTTGTTTACTCATCTTGAAACACACACAGGATGCATTCATTATATAAATAAAAATCCGCACAGTTTTCTTTTACAACATATGTTTGCTATACGCCAATTGCCAATTCAGTTGTCACATTAATCATTAATCACGGAATGCTTCCGTGTCTTTGCAGCCAACTCATGAAAACTTTTTGGGCTGGGTAATCACACCTAAGTGTATAAAAGTGTGTGTATATTTTTTGTATAAATTTTATTGTAGCCCGATTTATACACTCTTTTTGGCCTTTTGCAAATGCAACTGATGTGGCCGAAAGCCGAAAACTGAAAACTGGCAACACCAACTGGCACTTACCGGTTATTTGCATTATTCTCCGTGAGCGGCTGTTCCACTTCGGTCTTGGTAACGACGCTGATCGAACGTGTCATGCGGCGGGGCTTGGTGCTGCCCTCCTTGTAGCCAAGATTCTCCATGGTGACGGCCAGAAGGTGCTGTTGATATCGCCGTCGCCGGTGTCAATGCTGCTGCTGTTGCTGCTTTCGTGGTCGTTGCAATTAAAACGCGCAAATATGCGCAAAAAACTCAACGCAATTGCAACGGGCAACGGTCGGCTATAAATATGCAAAGGAAAAAAAGTAACTTTCCAATATCAGCGCCAAAATTTATAGGCCAATTTCAGCGGCCTGTTGACATTTTCGATAGCCTGCTGCAAAGATGGTTATGTCGTTGGAGGAGATTTTCGAGAGGGATCTCTCTTTCTAAACAATCCCGCTGAGCGAAGCACACCCAACTGAGTCCACTGCCCACAATATCTGCACAAATATTAATATTTAGCGTCACTTTTTCCTCCTCCGGCTAACTCCTCCAACTGACTGGCTTTCCCTACCCGCCCGGATGTACGGACTCTGGCCAAGATGCCTCTGCGTGCGTTGGATGCGACACTCGTGGCCGCAGTTATCTAAGCGTCTTCCATTTGACGCAGCGATAAGCCCATCATCACTATCGTGGCCATTATTATCGCCAGACTATCTAAGGGATTTATCTTAAAGTGCTACTGGTTACGGCTATGCTTTAAGGGGGGTTTATGGTTGAAGTATGACTCAAATTTAGGCAAAATCACTAGAAATTTCAAACTGAAATTCTATACAAGATATATGATGATAATCTTAGGTCTTCAAATAACGTAAAAGCTATCTAATGATTATAATATTTTCAAGATTTCTAAGCTAACCCCATTAATTATATCCTCAACTTATTGCGTTTTTACATATCCTATATTTCTCTTTTGCAAATAATAATTCAAATTAAGTTGTTAATGAAAGTTTGCTTATTTTTGGTTATATTTAAAGAACCCCCTCCATCACTCACACCCATGCCTTTGTTTGCATACTTTTTGCTTGATTTTGTTTGCTCGTATTATTTACAATTCATGTCAACGTCAGAGGTGGACAGACAGACTCATTCATACGGTTTATAAGCAAAATTCCTAGAGATGCAGGACCGGTTCCATCTTTAAGTAGTGTTTCCTAAATCAAAAGTTAATATGTCACCATGATTTTATATATTTAAATACATTGAATATATATTCTATATATATATTGTATAAATTATAAATATAAATGAGGGGAAGTTTTTGCTAATTAACCCTTCTCTTTTTTCTTATTTATTTACTCATATTGTTCTGTGGGGCATTTCTCCTAAATTTTCAGTTATTGTTTTGTTTTAATTTTTTGCATAGACATCTGTTTCGTTAAGAAAACAAATTTCTTATCGGGGTTTTTTCAGCCTTTCCAGCTTATGTAATTAGCCATAACAGTAGCACGACTCCAGAGAAACTATATAATTACGGCATTACATTAGATTCGATTAGTTAGTGAGGCGTTAAGCTTGTTTAGGTTCCATTTGATGCATTTACTTTCGGCATCGCATTACCGTAAACAATTCTCCAACGATTCTGGGAATCTTCCGAACGTGTTTGCAAAATATAAACAAAAGCAAAGCACACAGGTATTTCTGTTTGCCCGGCGACAACGCATGAGAAACTTTCTTTGATTGGGCCAAAAACAAAATACTAATTTCGCAGCTGCTGCTGCTGGCTTATTAAACAAATCTCTGGCGGCGGCGATAAACAAGCATCGTCCGTCGGGCTAAATTATGCGAGCAAATTAATCAAATTCTGTGCGTAGTTGAGAAACCAGTTTTGGATCCGTTGCTGGGCTCTTGTCGATAGCTACACTGCTGCTGCGCTGTTTGGAGTCTGCGAGGTCCAAAAGTCGCTAACACACCGAGCAAATATTTGTCTTAAAACGCCCCCGTGTGATTACAGAATTGTGTGAATTGCTGGAAATCGCCTTGTCAATTAATATGTTTTTAATATATACTTTGCGTTTGCAAAAAAGTCATATTTCTCGCTTTAAATAGAGCGTTCCGGGGGAAAGGCGTCGACAACGGCGGCATGCTTTTGTTGATTCCGGTGCCCGGAAGCGCCACTTGCCATTCACCCGTTAGTACAGGCCGCCGCAGCGTCCGCCATTTTGGAAAACTGCGCCATTGCTATCGCCAGACAGAGAGATAGAGAGAGAGCGAGGGAGAGAGGTGGAAATGCCGTTTCCCCGAACATTCTTCGCGATCGTTCGTTCGTCGTTCGTTTACTTTCTCGGGCATTCCTTGTCGCGGCGCGTTGATTCAATTATAATTGAAATCAATTTGAAAATTTTTCTTCGCTTTACTCGCGCTTTTGTGGATGTCTTTAGGGGGCTTTAAGGGGTTTTTATTATGTGAGCAAACGCATTGGGCTGAGTTAGGTTTTATTTTTGAGCTCACAATGCCCTTGAACCTGAAGCGCATGCCCCATTACCCATTGCCCACATTACGTCGTACAGTCACTGTGTACTAGATTCGATTCTTATATATTCATACTTGTGAGCCTATGCAGTTGCAATTGAATTCCAGCGTGAATAGTTCACGAATTAAAGGATAATGCAGTCGACAAATGTCGAGCACCGAGTGTAAACAAATCTCAATTGCTATTCATGAGCTAAGCTTTCGGTTATGGAGATGGTTTATTTTGCTGATTTTCTAATGAAAATTTGTGGGATTTCTTAGTAAGGTTTGTAGTAAGATAATTATGGAAAGAATAGTTCTTTTTTTAAATAACTATATTATAATCAATTATTTGTGAAATTGTAGAAAGATAATGGTATAATTTTAAAGATTTACGCCATTACAGTAAATTGTTTTTTTTTATCGATCTCATGTTTAAAATTTTAAAGGTTTGACTTATTTGTTAACACACAGTTGCCTCTTCCTAATTATAGGCTAAAGTTTAATATAATAAGTATTTATTATATATGTATTTAGCCATACAATGTGAGAGTAGTCTAGATGCTATAGATCCCTATATGCCGTATGAGAAAGCCTTGGATAATCTATAGATAATTCTATCTATAATTCAAGTTCAGTATTTCAAATATATTTTTTTGATAGCCAAAGGCAAATAATTTGATTTTTTAATACTAAAAACTGTTAATACTATAAAGCTAAAGCTAAAGCTAAAACTTCTGGACATTTCCTAGCAATCCAAGAACTTTTAACAAGTTAGGACTGCAAATGATTTATATATTCCTTTTTTTTTATCGAGTAAATATACACTTTTACTCGTTTGAAACTTAAAAGTTTCATGCAATTCGAGAAGTTGACATTTGTATAGTTTTAAGGAAATCCACTTTACATTAAGTCGTCTGTTAATAGGAGGCCCGTAGCCGGCGTTTAATTAATATTCGCCACATTTTGCTCCAAAAAGAAAACTTATATTGGTGTTTTAATGGGACTAGGATGTTTTAAAGAATATTTTCTCGGACGATGAGTACAAAATTTTCCGACACTTGAGGCGCGCGCTCAACGACGTTGGATCGACTGATAAAGAAGAACTGCGCCGAAATGATATCGTACACGATATGATGTGTCTCCAAAGCGAGCGCCAATGAAGTAGATGACACTTAGTATATATACTATATATATCCCTAGTTCCCGACACCGTTACACAGAACGTATATACGAACGAGATCCTCTTCTTCGGGGCTTTTGTCGTGTCGTCTTCTCTCATGTGTCAAACTATAAAATTCATTTAAATCATAATAAAATGTTGCCGCGAATTTTCTTGAAGCGCCGAGTTTAAGTGCACGATACTACGAGAGATGCCGGTAGGCTGTCCGCCCCCTGAGGCTTTCACATCACCCCCAAAACAGCTGAGAACAAGAGTATATTTTTCTTATTGTTGTTTTGTCTTTTCTGAGCTGAGATTTCGGGGAACCCTGAAGTTTGGGGGAACCAGTTTTCGGATTTGCCTCGTCACCAGTCCACCAGAGATCTGCAAACTTGTTGCTATTTTTATCAACGTCAATTAAGTATTTTCTGGCGTTCGGCTTTCGCAGTAATTGTGTGTACCTGCATTAATTCAAAAATCTTGTTCGCATTGTGTGTGTATAAGCCTTTTATTATGTTTATTAGGGTTGTTACTGTAGCGTGAAGTCATCTAGCAATTTGTTTAAACAAATCAAATCCCTCTCTCTGTCGCTTTGTTGCTCTTCTCAAAATATTTTCGCTGATTGATGGACGTTGTCGATGTGGTTTGCAAAAAAAAAATCGAAAAGGAGAGACGAGAACAGAACTCTTCCCCGTTCGATTGTTGTAGTTTTATTGTTTATTGTTTTTTAATCATAACGTTTACTGTCTGTGTGTGCTGCCTCCGACCATTGTTAGGCGCTCCGTCTGTCAAGCCCCTTGACTTTGTTTCCCACGCAGTTGAATAAAAAAAAATGGGACAAAAAATAGCAACAAAAAAATGGAATCGCTAAATTGAGTTACGATTTGTTTTGATCTTTGGAATCTGTGAACTTTGCTTACTTAATATGCAATATTATTTTATATTTGATTAATTAATATCCGGATTTTATGGAATTAACAGTGGGATATCAAGGGGAAATTAATGTATCCTTCATATAACTGAATCTTAATTAAGTTTACAACATTGTGGTGTATATTTTTAACAAAATCAAGGAATGAACAGCTATTTATTTGTTTTTTTTTTTTTAACATTAAATGTGTGTAGGATTAATATATTTTTATAGTTTTCTTAAACATCTTTTATTAATCATAACAAGATAGGAAAGCATCTTCGGAAAGCCGAAATTATTATACCATTGCAGAGAAAATCCTTCATAGCTTAGTTAAAAATCAACTAATTTACAATCGGAAAGCATTGCTATGTTAGTTTTTGTTAGGTTAACAAATCTGCATACTTAATTAAAATTTTTGCCAATTTTTGACAAATTTAATGATGTAACCCCTTATAAAATTTTAAAAATTTCCAAAATTTGTTTTTCAATCGGACATGGCTAGATTGATTTGGCTGTTTATTCTGATCAATAATATATATGATTTATAGGGTCGGAAATGGGTCCTTCACAGTGTTTCAAGCTTCTGACTGAAATTGTAATACCCTGCGGAACATGACTCAATTCCTTGAATAGCTTTCCAAATTGAAAAGAGTTTTATTCTGCTTTAGATGTTTTTTTTAGTTTTCACAATCATTTCTGCCATTTGTTACCAAACCTATTAACGGTACAGCGCGTGCTGATCATAGCCCGCGGCTCTGCAATTACAACGACTTGATGCAATAATATAATGCGCTTATAATTTGCATCACACCTAGAACTAACCTTTCCCACCCACTCGATTGACGACGTGTGTTCGTTAATTGCCAGGCGGACATGCAACAATTTGTTGCAGTTTACTGGCCTGTCCGCGCGGCCCACAGACATTTAATTTGGCTAACGATTCTGCTATTATCTAGTCGCATTGTTGCTGTACAGGAAGCGCTATCGCAACCTCATTTCGTATATACACAGAGAGTGATCCGGACAATGGCTGCTGCCCCGGGCGCTCAAACTTGACATCTAACGGTGGCCACACAGCCTCAGCATTATCTCATTCTAATTCTAATTCTCATTCGCAATTTTCGTTATCTCGATTTTTTTTTAGTTGCTCTTCCCGCTGCAATTTAGCGAACTGCTGGGCAAAGTCGATGTGGAGGCCAATGTGGAGGGCGGCGGACCTTCCGGTCAGGCTGGAGCCATCCGTTGGGGCATTGCGATGAGTTTGCGCAGCTTTGTCGATCAAGAGATGATTGAGTCAATGCGTCTGGGTAAGTGCAAGAGAGCACCCTCTTCCTTCTTCTCCCTTCACCCACTGCTGCTAATTGCAATTTATGTTGCAGCCGGCCTGCTGACACGTGACTATCGCCGCCGGGAGCGTAAGAAGTTTGGACAGGAAGGAGCACGCCGCAAATACACGTGGAAGAAGCGTTAGAGCTACACGTGAATCCCCAGGCTCTGGTTGCATTTTTGTTTGAAATGTTTTAATAAATATCAAGTATGTTATCGGTTCTGTTTGGAGGCATCTTTGGCTGATATTACATCTGGTCGAGTGGCCGGAGGCCTAGAATCTGCATACCCTGCTGCAGTGTCCGCTTGGCAGCATGAAAGAGTAGCAGACGCTGGGATTGCTTGTGCCGGCAACCCTCCAGTTTCACAGGTAATCGCTTTAGTGCTCGGCTGGTCGCATTGCTGCAATGTTCATATAGTTTATATTTTCGTTTAATCATTATAATATTTATTACTCACCACAATCCAAACAAATAGTTAACCAGAACACAAGCTTCCAGTTGCTGCTTTGACTGCCACAGACTCTGATCCAGACGTGCCAGTTCGTAAAGTAAATCCAAGGCATCTGTTGGCTCTTGGACAAAATGCTGCCAGTCCGGCTTGATGTCCTCCAGTTGTACTTCCTTAAAGTTATCCAGCAAACTGTGCAGGCGGCAGTGTGTGTACTGGAGCTTTATTCCCGTATCTCCGTTTACCTGAAGAGCCTGCTGCCAGCTGAATTCGTGATCCCTCTGCCGACGCTGCTTCAAAACATTTACAAGGACAGCCGAGACTCCCAGAATATCACACACAAGCTCATCGTCAAGGGACTGGTTTTCTCTGGTAGCTAGAAAATATAGTTTAGATTAGGTATTATTCAATTAATACTGATGTCACCTACTTGCACTAAGGTTTCGTTTTTCCCGCATTATATCGCGTGCTTCGTCCAGGACATCCTTTAGAAAGATCGCCTTGCCCTGACGCGTGCTCATACCATGAATGCGACCGAATTTTACATGCTGCAGCTGCTCAAGATTCAGGCGTTCGTCCAATGCCGATGCCGTTTTAAAGAGCGCATTGAAGTGATCAGCTTGGCCATTGTCCACTACGTAAAGATGACGTGTGAACTCTAGTCTTGAGAGCCTCTCCAACAGAGCAGCAATATCTCTGGCTAAGTACAGAGTGGAACCATCGCTCTTGATCACTGGGATACGTCTTCCATCCACCACGACGACCTCGCGGCCATCCAGTTCGCGTTGCAGAAGACCAGCGTTTCGTAGCTTGTCCAGAACCTGCTGTATTTGCTTTTGGGAATACTGAGACTCCCACTCGTAGCTATCGAAGTGGACCCCCAGTCGCTGGTAAACTTTGGACAGATCTTCAATGGTGTACTTTCTGTACTTCTGCCACTGTTTGGCCATGTTTTCATCCGTTCCCGCCTCCAGAGACGCAAAGAGATCTCGTGCTCGTTGGGCGATTTCCGGACTTTCTTCCGCCGCTTTATTAGCGGCGACGTATGATGCATAGAGGGTTTCTATGGGGGATGCCTGCATCTGCTGGTCAGTAACATTGTTCAGTTGGACGCCCAAGGCAAGCAGGCTGAACTGTGTGCCCCAATCTCCTAGGTAATTCAAGCGTGTTGTGCGATAACCCAAGTGCTGGTGGAGATTCGCAAGAACATTACCAATGATGGTGGATCGCAGGTGGCCCACATGGAAGGGCTTGGCAATGTTTGGTGAACTGAACTCCACTACAATGTGTTCTGGGTGTGAAATGGGAACGTCTGCTGGATTCTGTTTGGCCTTCAGGAGCTGTTCCACAAAGGCTTGCGGTCGTAGTTGGAACTCTACTTTCGCTGCACTGCGTCCGGAGCTGGATACTACATTAACTCCTTCTATGTAGGCGCAATCAAATGGGTGATCTTTCACGGCATTTAGCACTTCCCGCTCCCGTTGCGCAACCGCAGATGGGAGAATCCATTCCAGAGTCGGTTGCCGGGCGTTCTGGAGCTGGTGCTTCTTTGTCGGTACCTCTAGCGCATGGCACGCCTCCTTCAGCTGTGGCAACTGCAAAGGTGAAAGCACTGGTAAGTCATAATAAGCCCATATTTTAGTTAGTTTTCCACCTGTTCACAAATAGCGCGCCGTAAGCGAATCATTTTGGATGCTCCGGATTTCCCATAGTTATCGATAATATTTTTCGTTTCCTCATCACACCATTTTTCGTAACAAAGTATTTTTTCAGTATATTCTTTAGAGCTGGGTTCCCTGACTTATCGATATATTTTCTCACCCTTAACAAAAATTTAAATAACAATTTAAAAACTTTTTATATTAAAATTAAGTGTATCCTAAAATTTGGGTCAGTTATACTAATTTTATTATTATTTATTAATTTTATTATTAAGAACAAAATGTGTATTTGCTCTCTTTATTTTATGTCAGACATCAATCAGAATTTTAATAACGGTTTTGAGGAAATACCGGGTTTCCGACACAGCTGTTGTGGTCTGGCGCGCAATGCGCATGACTGCAATTTTATAAATGAAAAATGTAAAGCATTACATTTTGCAGTAAATGGTAATAGTAACACTCCACTGATGAATATTTAATTGTTTTTAATGATCAATAAGTAATTACGTTTTCCCACCGACGCCCCTGCGAACATATGGTCGCTGGGGCTTCCATTCAGGCTTCCACTGTGCTCTCCCCAAAAGCTTCCAGGCCCTGCGTCAACTCCAACGCCGCCGCCGTGGCTTCGCTCGGTGGTTTTCTTTCCTGAGAACTTGAAGTGCAGACTCAGTCGTGTTCGAATCGTCGTTGAAACCGGAAACGCTGGCGCAAGGGCCCACATCAGAAATACCACCAGTCTCACAATTAAGCAGAAGCAGCAGCAGCGACAGAGGAGCAGCGGGCAGAGAGCAAAATCGGTTCCATTTGAAAAGTGTGTTTCTCTGTGCACCTGAAGTTTCTTGCCTTTTTTACCTTAACAAAGATTCGCTCCAGTGACCACCGACCACAAAAACAAATGCGAAAATCAGCGAGAAATCGCCTAATTTAGCCAAGCTGCGGCGGCTTAAGAGTATTGCATACCTCGGGGCTGTGCGGAAAAAATAGATATCGATTTGCCAGGGCATAAAAACAAGAATCTGAATGCGGCTCGCGCACAAAGTTTCTGTTTTTTAATGTCCAATAAAGTTGTTTGCCCTGATGTAGTCGGAGCTTTATATTGCCTAATTACGCTGACATTCAGAGGGTCGTAAAAGATTCGTCTGTGTGTCGGCGTGCTTGCGAGTGTGTGTGTATGAGATCATCGCTGAGGCAAAACGCCCGCTGGTATGCAATACTTTTTCTCACGCCTCAATTTCTCCCCCTCAGCGGAAGTCTAATCCAATTTGGCCTATGACAATACAAACGCACTTTCTTCGCTACGCATTATCCAGGTGCGTGTGCGTATAGAGAGTGAGCAAGAGCGAGCGAGTGAGGAAGCGAGAGGTGGAAAATATTAAAGTTTAAGAGCAAAACGCGTGTGTTTCTGTGTCCTCCATGTTAACATAAGTTGCCACGATTAAGCAACGCTTACCGCCGCATATCGAGCACTGAATAAACCCCCAATCGTGCGTGTGTTTAATTTGTATTTCTGGCACTTGGTTCGGCAAACAGCAAAAGCATTTCCCTATGATTGGCTCATTCTGGAATCTGTGCAGAGCGTGCCCATCAATGCCGGTAGACAAGGTGAGTAACACTTTATTTTTACCTGAAAATTAATCTAGTTCTCTGTATTAGGGACTTAACTTTTGTGATTTGATTTCTTTGAAACAAAGCTATTATAGGGCTAGCACAGAACTCCTTAAAGTTAAACAATCTATTGAAAAGTAGTCCAAAAGTATATAATTTACCAAATTTTGTACCATACATTGCTTTCAGGCAATTTGAAAACCTAAGCGATTTCCATATAATTATTCAGTTTAAACAAAAGATTCTGTATTTTGTATGTGACGGATACCTCAAGTACTTTAGTTGCAGACTGTTTTCCGGGATTTTGCACTGTTAGCCTCTTAGCCCAGTTTGCAGACGGCGGGCCTTTCGTTTATAGCGTCCAAATCGTTTGATTTATATGCGACAGTTGTGTCTGAATCCTTATGTCTGTGTTCTAGTGAGTGTGCGAGCGTGTGCGAGGACACATAATAGATTTTTATTGCATACTTGCAGGCGACAAGTGAAAGGGGGCTGCAGTGAAGAGCCGAAAATGGGGTGACTTGCCTGAGTTATGACTCGCTCGAAAGAATTGTGGGATTAGGGTGAACTTTTGATATTGGGGGAATATTTTTTACATTCCATTTGCGGTATTAAATTGGAGGGTTAAATCGGACTCAGGGGAGCACAGTAGAAATTAAGCCTGAAAAATGATCCGAGTAATTCCCCGAATGATTGTCGCTTTTGGCTTGGGATGAATAATTAAAATTGTAATTATTAAGGTGATATTTATATGTATTATGATGTTTGGTTATTTGCTAAAGGCTTTCGATAGTTTCATTTTGATTGAAGCCTCAAAGCAAACTGATTACAGTTTACCATTCCTTGAACTCTTTCACTTAACTGATTTCCCCTTGGCCACGTTTCGCTGCCATCTTTCATAACGCTGATCAATATCACCTTACGTCTGCCACCATCCTTGGAGTGCCGTCACAAACGTTTGTCCAGGGGCATGCAATATTTTCCGTACCTACTTGCAGGCCAAATAGAGCAAATATATATAAAGTACCACAGAATAAGTAACAGAAACTCGCTGGCAGCGAATAAATTAACTTGCATTACGCTCGACACCAATCGCGTCAGCCTAAAGTAAGTAAAGGCAAAGGTACGAAAAAAAAAGAAGAGAAATAAGGAAATAGAATAAATAAAAATAAAAATAAGTAGGAGCGTGAAACCACGGCAAAAGAAACATGGGCTAAAAGGTAGTAGAAGAGGCGCAGAAAATCAATAGCATATGGCTTGTGGCTTGTTTGGGCCCACAGCTGTGGCCGGCCGGGGTGTCACATCGCACTCGGGCTCGGACTTGGACCGGGACCCGGACATGGAGCCGGATCCAGACCCGGACCGGGTGCCGAGTCCTACCGCCGGAGACGGAGGACCGAAGTACAGAACGCGGAGTGGTTGTCGTCGTGGCTCAACCTGGAACACGCTCTCCAAGCCTCCTTCCAACGTCGTCTTCCAGTCGCTGTGCAAAACAGCTGATTCATCAACTTGCCATGACAATTCGAAGGACTGTGTAGTTGAAAAAAAAAAAAACAACAACGAAATACCACTACAATGTGCATTCCAGAGTGTACAGTGGCAATCCTTGAAGTGAAACACTAAGATTTACAGATGTATGAGGAGTTTTCAATACCCTATTCTGGTGGTGCATACAATGGGTTCCTAATTCCTGAGAACTTAGTCAACTTAAATTTAAAACAGTTACTTTCAGTCTTAATCGATTCAAGTTACAAAACCCAAGAAACGAAGTCTTTATCGAGGTAACACTGTTATTCAAACAGAGTTACACTTTTCCCCATTGCGCACAAATTGTTGGGAACCACTTTCGTTCTCCTCAAACTTTCGCGCATGTGCAGCTGAGAGAGCCACACACAGAGAGAGGGAGAAATACTTTAGGGAAAGAGAGAAACTGGAGAGTTAAAGGTACAAGAGAACTTGAGAGCACTTTTAGCCGGCTTTTATTTGGAGTTTTTGTTGTTGTTTCTGGCTGGCTGCTTGTTCGGCCATATGACGTGCGAGGGAAAATTGTCTTGCGGTATTACATCAGCGCAGCAGGGCAGTCAAACTTTTATGGCGACACCTACCCGTCACCCCCGGGTACCCAGCCACACCCCCTAAACCCACCCGTTCACCCGTATCCCCAACAACAACAATAAGTGCCGGCTAAGTGTCGCCAGTCGGTTGGCAGTCGGTTGCATGCCACACGCTTATCGATTCAGCTCGCATATGGTTACCGCCATCCATGGTGACTCTTAGTCACTCCCCGGATCGATCTGGGACTATGCCCCAGGATTATCCGGTTGATTACAGTCAGCTGGGCGTCGCCGCATTCTAGTATTTATAGTTTCACCGACACTAGTATTTATTTCTATTTTCCAGGAGATTTATATTTACAACATTATTTTCTATTTGTATAAACATACTAGACTAGACTCTAGTATTTAGTAATTTCAATAATCAATGTTGCTCCAAATCCAATAATAATTATATTTGCATAGTTCTTAGTCATTCATTGAATCGAATTAGGACGATATCCTCGGATTTTCCGATTCCTTGCAGTCAGCTGAGCGCCGCCCCATTATAGTTTCCCTCCAGTTTCCCTCAACTTATCTCCCAACGACACTCGCAGTTATTTCCGCACTATTGTTTCCTTCTGTCTATAGCCACCCACATCATCATCTGCAGCATTTTCTGAGTGGGTCTCCTTTTGTTGGTTCCTTTATCTTCTGGCTGCAGGAAAATGCCACCCCCTCAACATAGTTTCCACTCTTCCCGACTAACGAAATACTTATTCGGGCATATTTTGTACGTGTTGGCGGCTTGGTAGTTGGTGAATCTCTGGTGAAATGTATTTATTACAGGAACTTGGCCGAAATAACTTTCAAAAAGTTTACAAAAATATGTTTATTGATAGTGTAATTTAAATAAAAATGTTTTATTCGTTGGGTAGCTTTCTTGAAATAAATAATAAGTACCTTTCCTTATTATCCTTCAGATTTTTTAAATTTCCTCAAATATAACCAGTTCCTTGATTGGAAATGGTTTTTTATATCCTTGGAGAATGCTTATTTAATTGAAAGCTAGCATCTTCAATTGTCTAAAAAGAGAGTGAGGATAGCTTAGGCCACAGCGTCCTCAATTTTTTTTTTGCTGGGGAAACCCCTTTTTATTGCATCTAACGACGGCAGTTTGCACCCTTCACCACTGTCTCTCCGCAACAATCTCCGCAATTGCCAGAACCGAAAATTGGGGGAAACCAGTGGCAAACTCAAGCTGCCGGGGACCAGGAGCCCCGGAGAATAAGAAGTTTTTTTATTTTTTATTTTTTGTCTTTTAGTTGATAGCTGAAAACCGGTGTACAATCTCCATGGATTTTGGTGGCGTCGCTGTAGTTGGATGAAAAGTTTTCTAATTACTTGGGGTCAACTGTTCGTTCGGAAGCAGTTAGTGTGAAATCAAAAATGTAAATGACTCCTCTCTGTAAGCTGAACTTTTTCTGGCTAATATTAAATTGTAGTGAAAACAATAAATAAAGATAACTTTAAAGAACCGAAGCTAGTTCGAATATTCAATCGATCATAACTAAGCCAAAAATTCATTAATTTCAATTCGGAAACCACTCCTATGATAGTTTTTATTGTATTAATAAATCTGCTTACTCAATTTTAAATTCTAGAAAATGCTATTTTTTGCCAATTTTTGACAATTTTAATGATGTAACCCCTTATAAAATTTTGGAAAATATGATAATTTTTGTTTTCAACCGGACATGGCTGGATCAAATCGCCAGTTGATGCTGATCAATAATATATATGGTTTATAGGGTCGGAAATGACTCCTTTCTTCCGCCTTGCAAACTTTTGACTTGAATTATAATACCCTAAAAAAAGGGTATAAAAACCATTCGCAATTGTGCTGGCGTACTCAGAAAACTTTAAATAACCCGACAGGTTAAATGTTTGAGGGAAGCAAAGAGGCGCCGCACATGTCGCACGAGGGCTTTTACTCGTTTTCCGCTTTTCCGGGCTCTTGTTGTTTTTACCATTGTATTTTTCTGGCAGTCAGTCACTTTGATATTTGCATATTTTCAACACAAATCAGTGCATTGCATGCGGCGAGCATATAACATTTTTGCGCTTCAGAGAAATGTTTATTTCGCCCCGAAATGTTATTTACTATTCGTGAATTTTTGGTCGTGTAGTTTTACGATTGTTTAATAATTGCCCTTTGGCTGGATTTGTAATTTTTAACGGCTAATTCGAATTTTATTGATCAAATTTTGTGAAGGATTCGAGTATTTTTGTATTGATGAAAACATGATCAATTTTAATAAAATTTTTTACTTGTACTTGTGCTTGCTCATTACTTTATAAATGTTATTTTGACTTTATTTTCTTATTATAGTACATTCAGATTGTATACAAAATCAATATATTGACTTCAGAATTCTTCAACAAACTTTTTGTTTTGTTTGGTTTATTGCCGGTATATTTAGCGTGTTAATCAGCAACAACTTTTTCGTATTGATTTTCCTTTTCGACAGCCATTAAAAAGTGCACACGAATGTCGAACGAGCACGAAATGTCTATCAAGTCTTGCTCATCAATGTCAGGCGATTAGAACTTGAACGGAAGAGAACTTTTTCCATTAAAGCCAAAGCTTTCGTTGCCCGGCCAATGCGGCGTATACGTAATGCAGCCATGAGGACACCGATTAAATGTCAATTATAAGCCTTTTGCTGATGATTTCCGTCTTATCTCATTTACCGAAAGGAAGTGCCAAAAAAAGTCGAGAAAAAGAGCAGAGATTTCATTAGTTTTAATTAATTTGCTAAAAAGAACGTTAACCGGATGACAGGCGCCCCATCCTTGGCACATTACGTCAACTTTAGTTGCACTTTTCAACCCTTCCACCTAGCCTTCATTCAACCATTCATCCATCCATCCATCCATCCATCCATCCATCCATCCATCCAT